ATTGGATATTTTTTGAAGTTTATTCAACCTAACAAGCTAGGCGAATTCCAAATACTGCAGCATATGTGGCGCCTCGTATTTTCGCCTTTGATAGCTAAGAGCATCAAATTGGTACAAATTCAATGACTGTGATTCGCCGAATTTTTTATTCCGTTTCTCCATGAACTGCTAGCCTTTCATTTGTTTTGACTGCTAACTTCGTAAGAAGTTTCTCTTGGAAAATTGTTTGAATTTGTTTTATTAGGCCTTTGCAGCGTAGTTAGAATGTTCACTAATTCAGAAACCCGTCAATTAATCGTTTGGTACCAATTTCTTTTCTAATGTGAAAATTTTTTTATAAAATAGTATAATGTCAAAGGATTAGGTGATTTAACAAGCAGGCAAGGCGATTTTGATTTGCTAACTCAACTCTCTTCCCTCATTTTGAAACGAATAGTTTTGTTAACATTTGCAATAATCAGGAATACGACAGCAATTTCAGTTTGTCCAGTAAAATTAAATTATATAGCTGCAATTTCTCTTTAAAGAAAAGAGGGTTAGTCGCAAGCGCATTATATCTGTTTTTAGTAAACGTCATTTGATATAATCGGCAACGGTGACTACTTATTTAAAGCTCTAACCATGTGTAATAGTAAATAAAAAAATGAGGAGAGTTTGGCACTAGTCTATCTTGAATACTTCATTTTCTATGAATCATTCCAAAAGCAGGTCATTCCAAAATGTATGCGTAAACCTACAGTGATTGACTGCTGCACCAAATTCTACGTCACGACCGTCACCAGGCTACCAATTTAAGTTCGTATAAAAAATCCCCATCCTCACTCATAGGTAGGCATCCTATAAAATCACACGTGTCTACTCTACAAAGGAAGTCACTTATCAGGCGTTTGGATGGAAAGATGTCTGGGCTGGTGGTTACAGTCTAGAAAGACTGCGCTTTCGTCCTGGCCTATGGATATGTGTAAATGTGCTAGAACGTTTGCCTTTTTTTGCCAATAGTGGAAGTGAATAAGTCAGCATTCGTGCTGCTACTGCCACCGCCGCTGCCAAAGTGATGTCCAGTGTTCGCAGTTCGTGACAAAATTTTGAGGGCACAAATTACTCCTTGATCCATCTGGAAACCGTAACTTCTGTAAGAAGCTATTTCCTTACACAAATAAGAGATTGAAGGGCTGATTTAGGAAACAAAAGAGGCCCTACAAAATAAAAGTAATGTTTCATCACTTTAAAGACACCTCACACGTGTGTTAATTAGGCGCCCTGCAGAAATGTCGGTACTGTCATTATGCATGAAAAGGTGGTATACAGGTTTAATTAAGTCCATAACATTACCAACAAATTAAAGTGAACAAGAGCTGAGCTGAAACAAATTGCAACACGATTACTTAATCACCCCCATTCAAAGGGTGTTTAGAGGAGCAACCTACCACGCTTTACTGAGCGCAGTGTCTTGGCTTCCGCTTGAAGGTCTTAAGCTATTGTTTGACCTCTTCAACTTGTTCCCGCCTTAAACGCGCCGACAGCTAGTCTTGGCCCTGTGCTTGTCATGCATGTTCTCCTGGGGAGGGTTAATAGGACTTCAACCCCCTAGCTGGGACTGTATGTGAGGAGCGGTGTGGGGGGGAGAACATCTGAACACTTAGTGGGGATTCAATGTGCGAACAAGGTGTCGACTGTCTCGAATATGGTACACTAAGGATCTTTGTAGCGTGGGCAACAAAACGACAGTCGCATCATACTGTGATGAGGAGTCCAAAATCAATTCAGCTAAGCTCATGCAACAAATCTCTTTTGCCGCTTTTTTCCTATTAGAAATTTTGCGAGGCGGAATTCACAAACACAAGATTAAGATATTCGAAAAAGGTTGCAATTACTAAAAACTTACCAACTGACAGCAATTAGGGAGCCGTATTTAAATCATTTATTAGAAGATTAATCTATATAAACGAAGAACCTAAATTTACTTTATATTCAAAAATCAGTGAATTTAATGAAAAATATTTTTGTCCTAAAATGATATTATGTTCTCGATAAAGAAATTGATACATCCAGACCTCGGGTGAATATGTTCTGCAACGAGACACAACAATGCCAAACAGGCACTACCCACAGAATGCCGGCCAAAACTTTGCAGCGGTGTCGGTAATTGAAGTAACGGTTTGTAGCACGGATTCTAGATGACTACAGTAGGTCTTAGCTTTGCGTGGCATTTCAAGTGGGCTCTACGCAATTCCTCTGCTGTTATTTTACGGGATATGCAAAAAAGCCTAGATTTTTACAAATAACTACCACATGTAGACAAGTTTATGGTTAAAATTGTAAAAAAATAAGTAGTTGTGTGATAAATTTGGATTGATGAGGAAAACCCGGTACCAATTAATGGGAAAATTAGTCTAAATCGGAGGGCACGCTTTTATGTGGGGAGGGGGGGGGAGAAAAAGGGATACCAGACTACCCATAGATTTTATAGTTTGAGCCTTGGAAGAATTTTATTTTAGTATTTAACAGCATATCTTTTGAATTTTAGATCCCGGTTTACGTGGGCTCTCATAATTCGAAACAGGTATTCGTCATAAAATTTGAAGCCTGCGGTTTCATCTGATTCGTTTTGCGCCGCAAGACATGACATATATACCCTAACAGGAACTATCAAACTATTAATTCAAAGCTTTGGCGACCAACTCTATTCCAAAATGCAAAACAAGAGGATATTGCAGCAAAATTCTTTTAGAATGTCACTCTAAAATTGTGATGCCTCCGTTAATAATACCCTAAAATTTGATTTTGTCGATAACTTACCTATTTACGTATTTCCACTTCAATCTGCTTAAAGAAGTCAAATTTTATCCTCACACGAACGCCACAGACTCAATCCCACGGATCCATTGTCGTAACTTTGAAATCCCTATGTGGACTTTGCCCCTTCATGTTCTCGAGATCAGTCATCTGCCAAGTTGAGCCTGTACAAAAGCACCTCCTTCACCAAGGGTACAAAAATTTTTCCAGAGACGGACCCCTCCGAACAAAGAACAACTTTATTCAATAAGTATACACACACTCAATTCACGATGAAGTGCCTTAAACGATTTCAACTATAAAGAACCTAAGAATGAACATTTTTTGCCCTATATTGGCTACTATCTTCTAGGAAATGTCATCTTTCCCTTCAATTATTAACCAAAATCCACCCTCTGATAAGCACAGTGGGTATTAGCGGTGCCTTGTGGCCTTGACTTTTAGAAGGTCGTTGGATGTTTACCATGTTGCTACTTCGTGTGCGAACAAACATGGATTTTGGCCAATCACTAGCCAATAAATGTCAAGTTTTTGTTAATTTTATTTCTTAATTTCCACTTTTCTTCACTGGAGAACTTCAAGTTAATTGAATACTGGAAACATCAAAGACCGTTTGTAACAAGGTGAACCCATTGGGAAGGTCTAAACGGTAGGTCGTGGGACAAAGTGGTTGAGTGGTGTTGAGTTAAGTCTTCCGGCATCATGTTAACTATGGATTCCATACTTCGAATTTGCTGTGCCTTGTAAAGCCCAACCAGTAAAGCAAAGCCTTCGCCTTCCCACCTAACCACAAATCGCCTTTAATTTGTTCTTTGTCTCCAAGTTTCACAAAAAGTTTACCGTATATTCGCATTACCGTTTTGTGTCGCAAGTGATAGCATATCCGTCCAATTTGAACGGATTGAGTCAATCACTTTGTTTTGCTGTGTTTCATCTTTTGTACTAAAAGCAAAATGACAGCGATGCAATGCTTTACTGTGTCGGGCGCTTTATAGTTAACAGCGCGGTGAGATACATTCCGATGGCTTCTCCTCCCACAAAGAAGGCCAGAACTTTTGCTGGTCGGATGGGCTAAATGTGTCTTAGCAGTAAGGCACCCGCTTTGGATGCTTGAATTAAGGATGAGATGTTGAAAACACGTCGGACTTTGGCACCTACTCCAACCTCAAGTTGACTTTACCTGTCATCTAGAAAACCGAGTTTTCCGAAACCAGGGTCACCGGATTGTCAAAACGTTAATAATACGTGGTTTTTGTGAAAAAAATAACTAGATTACGGGCGGTAGTCACAGTTATATGACATTTTAGGCCATTCATGTGGCCACACAATCTGAGAAGTTTTAGCCCAAATGAGCAACAACTTCCCCTTAGAGTATAGGGGAAAGTGAAAGGAGGAATAAGGCAAGACTTGCATGACGATCTGGCAGACCTTCCCATTTGTCTGCATGCACAAAACGGCCGATTTATCTCTATTTTAGAGATAAGGAAGGAAAAATGAGTAATTTTGTTAGGAATATACTTCTGTGAGAATTGAGAACAGCTCTTAATTCACGTCTATTAAAATACCGAAAACGTGATAAGTTGAATGTCTGATTCGTCCTATTTTTCTTCCAAAATGCAGGTACTCCTTTCACCATCTTGCAAAAGGAGTCATATTTGGGGGGAAGTTTAAGTTGTTTACAATTGATAACAAAGGTGAAATATAAGTATGAAATTCAATAGAGCCTACGTTGTGCTAGTCATGTTGCTTACACTAATAAAATTGTGAAAAATGTCCACAGACCTGTGCTATCGTAAGTTGTCATTAACAGCAGCTTTCTATTAGCTGCTAATCTTTGGAACATGATTCTCCAGAACGTAAAGGCTCCACGCCTCGAAATGTATCGGCCACACCTCCATCTGATTGACTGCTGTAAACGTGCCAATTGCCACGGAATCTACTGCAACAACGCGACAACTCAAGTATTTGTGATATTTTTTGTATCTGAGTTGCCGCCTACGTTGAGCATCTCTTTTTGCGTGCGTTGGGGACGAAAGTCAAAGTTGACTTAAAAGAAAAGGGGAACGGGGCGTGGTGGACATTTTTTGACAGAATCTTTTCACGGTAAGCGCACATGTCGGAATAGAAACCGAAAAGTAGACCTGACCATAACCATGGCGACAAAAGTAATCCACTTTGGCCCGCGTATTTCCAATAGTTTTCGTTTTGCTTCCTCTCTGGTTTAAAAGATGGTAAGTAAGAAAAATTCGCTCACACACCCATGTATGCATAAGCAAAAAAGGTACATATTTTAATTGCATATTTTTACTGGATTTAATCACTTTAACTAAAATTTAGACAGACGAATCAAGTAGTGGCGTTACATTACCGGGGAAAGGGAAATTCACCTTAGCGGACACAGTTGACTTCGAGTCTATTGATACAAATGTTTGTTGCATTAACATTGGGTTAATAAACGTCGTTTGGGTGCACCAATATCATGAGGGTCCACAGTTAAGTGGTTAGAAATTCAATCGATGTTTGACCAGCACTGTAATTCACCAACCCTATTTGGTCGGTGATACTTGGGTACCTCTCTTGCTTGCAGCAAATTAATAAATATTGTGTACTTTTTCAGGCATTACATCATCTAGTGTATTTTCGAGCAAGAAAACAGTAAAATTTTTTAAAAAGTCTGACGTTTCACTTCCAAACTTATCAGAAATAGCCCTATTCACCCAATTTAGTGTGGCGAAATCTAAAAAACTACTGGGATTTTAACGAAGATGCGATCGTTCCTATCTTCTAATTGTGCTTGAGACCTCACTACGTCACCATATGACCTGGAGCAAATCGTAATCTATGACAAAATTATTTACAATTGATAATTTTTAGATAAAAACGCTATTGTATCATATGTTGACTTTTAATAAGGTCACACTTCCAAATACTGATGATTCTCTGCAGCGGTGACCTTCGCGATGACCCATGGCTCAAAAGTATGCTTTCAGCCTGCTTAATAGTGAAGTTCATGAAATTATCAAGGCCGCTCTGTGATGAAGACAGAGACTGTACGCATTCATTCAAAAACTGCATGGATCCCTAGGACTCAAATACAATTTGTAAGCCATCTTATCTTGAATTTGTCACTAGTAGTGTATGAAAATACCGCAAAATTCCTTATTGAGCGTTCAACTTCTTACAAATCGGATATTCATGCAACGCATTGCAAAAGAAAACGGTCGCAATAGTGGCACACCAGTGTTAATTTCAAAATGTATGATCAGCGTTTAAAATACGGTAATACTTGTACGAAAACTTAAGAGGACCTTATCTAAGGCATGCTAAGTCTTAATTGAAAATCCATCTAAAAAGGTTGTAGAAATGAGTAAATTTTCCCTTAAAGTAGTGAAATCTGGTATTAGATTGGGGATTGCAATCGATTCGTCGGTTTAAAACAACTAAGAGATGCTCACCTGCTTCACACTGCAATTTGAACTCCAACAAAAATGCCAATTTGCGTTAACAATCGCATCACTTTTTCGGAGAATTTTACCCCCAATCGGCGAAAACCAGTACTTTGTGCGTTTTGTTGTCCAACATAAGTCGGGTAAAACTTTGAGATGTGTAAGATTCGGAAGGGGGACAGCACCCTACCAAGTGATCACACCACGTGTGACATTGCCTCTCTACGCAGAGGAAAGTAACGCTTTGCTTCACGCGAATTTCGTGAGTTCCAATCTATGATAGCCAATGGTGTGAAAGTCGAAGTTGTCGATTAATCGATTAATTGTCACTTCCGTGTGGCCTTGAGCACATTAGAGCTGAACGTGATCCAGGGCTCTCTTCGAATGGAGATTTAATGGATCTGCGATGCACGTAAAAGATAATCTGGAAAGAGAGCAGGACAAACGTTTTTAATGTAAACGCTGAAAGTATAATTTAAAATAAAAACCTTATTGAAATGTCAACAAAGTATTGACATCAGCGCCACCTTGTTCTTTCTCACACGTTTGTGATCTCAATATGGACTTTGAGAGGTGGAGGTTCACCCAAGGTGTTAACGACCCACAGTTTAATGCACATCTACGCTTCTATACAATCAACTAAACATCACAACAGTTGTCCCAGCATTTCAGCATGCAGTTGCTCTCTACGACACACCATTAATCACGTCAAAAACCCAGTCACTGTGCTTACCCGAGACTTTAAAAGGATATTTATGACTTCTCGCTAATATAACCGTGAATAACTTGCCCTTTGAAAGGTTTTGCTTTTGGGCTAACATCAGACAAGCTAGTCGTAATGGAAAAATTTGATGTCAAAAAGCTGGATCCACTCTTAATGACGCCTTTGGAAATTGTATATGAATTAAAGAAGCTAACATGTTTACATCTGCAGGTGATGGTAAATTACTAAATTATCATGCGGGTAGGTCATATCGTGTACAGTTGCGTCAATTCTTCAAATATGGGCCGACATTCCAAAATGAAGGTCATGTTGTAGGCTTTCCCCTTGAATACTACGTGCATAGTTGTTCTATAACTTAATGCCAAGACTCGTTCCAGTAAGCTTTGAGGTATCCCAAACCTAAGAAATCATAATACTGGAGACGCTCGACTCATTAAGATTTGCACAATTCCAATTGGCCTATTACACATACAGAGGGAGTTGTATGCGTGGCTAATAGTACAGGTGTAATCATATCGCACATTTTCCACTAAATTTGTAGCTGCAACAGCAGAGCCGTTAAACCATCCAATTTGCATAAAGGCTGTTGAAGACCCTCGATATGGGCTGAAACGCGAGCGAACCCCAGAGCTCACTTGGGATTCGAGGGTTTGCAAATCTGTATTTGTATCCAACTTGAAACCCCTAATTACAAGAGAATTTTTATGCATCTAGCTCTGTGCACTTAACCTCAAACCTTCATTCCTTAGACCTATCAACCAGCCAGTGCAAAAGTTAGTTGTAAATAGATCGGCGGCGTTGCAGACCAGTGTTGACACTGCTGGTCAGGGTGATTAAGCTTAGTAGACAAAAAAAGATGAACCAAATTGAGCATCAGACGCCCAAAGCCATGCCCTAACGTGTGGAAAGTGTTCACAGCTCTGATACCCAGACCCGCTTTTATACCACATCGTCCACGTGAAAGCTTTCTACTGCTATGGAAGTGACCCGTAAATTCGAAATCAGTAAAGTTTATTTACTTACCACAGGGGATATCTTAGTTGCCCTCAATCAATTTATACTAGTAAACTAAGATTTATTGGTTATTTTGACCTGTATTTAGCACAGATACAATAACATCCATTGCAGATTACATATACATCGTACTTCTGGTTAGTACCTTGATGATCCACACTTATAAGACTTAAAAAGGTTGACCCAAAACTTTACTGATAGCCTAATCGGCCTAGACAACATTTGACCATAAAATAATATCCATTAAACTGAATTTTTACGCGTCCCTTGTACGGCTACATACCTTTGATTTGTCAAAACGGTGAAAATAAGGGCTTAATTACCATATTAGTTGTCGTTTTAACAAACAAGGAGATATACTCTAAGTTAGCTTTGGCTATCACGAAACAAAACAAACTGCTTAAATCGATTGAGCCATCCAGAAACCCAGCATGCTGATTTACAATCGCGCAATACTTCATCTTGTGAACAATTTCTAAGTCTTTAAAGGGTTAAAAGTGAAATTAAACCAGAACCGCCATTTAAAAAGTGCACTTTGGAAGAATTAAGGCTAGAGAGACCGGAAATTAAAAGAATTGACTTCTGGATCTTCATTAAGCTGTCTAATCAGTAGAGTGCATCGCACATGCATATCCCCGTACTCCTGATTCGTTGAAACGTAAACCAATAAAGTCACGAGTTAACGAAGAATGACAACGCAATGACCAATGGAATTCCACCACCTGCAAATATGCCTACAAGCGCGCAGATAGGCCATAAATACGCGTGCATTTCCGTCTAAGACTCATAGTCTTTCTTATTCGTCTCTGTTGGATGTTCTCCTTTGTCGATCCACGGTACGATCTGGGGGTGGAGTACGCAGACAGTGGTTTCTGTGAGGAGTACCCTTCAGATTGGGAGTACTACTTTGATTGGATTCCTCCTCTGAACAGGAGGCGGCGTCCCGCCGGGGATGGCACCTTCTGCAGTTCACCTAATTCTCCCCCTTTAAAAGAAGAATACAAAGATCCCCTCTCCATACAATCAGAACCTCATTTACCACGGCCTTCAACGTCGACGCCATCATCATCAGTGCCGATTTCATCAACGTCCCGGTCTGTGTTCTCCCTACCTCCTTCAACACCTGGTGCAGAACCCCTTGGCGCATACCTTCTACGGAGATTTCTAGATGGCGAAAATAACGGCACTAGCGCTGTTAAACAGCCTGGCGCATCTCAAGCAGAGTGAGTTCAGCTGACTGATTTATATTTGTTAGCTCTTGCTTCAGCCACTCTCTACACCTTACCTCACTCCCCCTTCTCTTACTATTATAAAAAATCCCCGTGTTGTGTAAATATCTTTTAATCTTACTTTTTCATAATCCGATGCAGTTTACACATACACACATCACAATAGTTGGCTTTTCAGGGGATGGGTTATGGATCAGTGCATGGCTAAAGATATTTCCTTTCTGACCACACTGCTGTGTGTACTGGGCAGACACTAATCAGCTGGTTAGCTGACGTCACCCCTCTGGGTACATGCGTGTGGGTTAGAAACGTCAGTCGAGTAGCTGAGGCCATTTTCGAAACAGGCTGTCTGATTGTAATTTCTAAGTTGGGTACAGGGTTCATGCACGCAAGTTAATTTTATGCTAACAACGGCGGAAATATTGTGCGGATATTCATTTTCCGATGTTATCAATAAAGCAAAGTAAGCATGGATGAAGTGATTACTAGTTTAAACTTTTGGTTTTGTAAGAGATTAGAAGTTGGGATTGGGTTTGGGGTGTAGTGTGCCCAAGCGTCCCTCGCCAGTTTGACGACTGAAGGCAGAATCTTCGTCGACAAATTTTTGTGTGCAAAGAGTTCGGCCATTTAGTTATGAAACATCTGGTCTTATGGCTCTTCCCTGCATACGTTGTGCGCATCACTAAGAGGGCTATTTCACTATTATTTTACCAGGATTTTTAGCCGAGTCTGGACAATTCCGCGGCGGACGCTGAGCTCCGAAGATTATGGGGTAAAGCAGGTACCATTTTCGTGGGAAATCGGTAGTAACCTTGCCACTTGTCGTCCTCGGATGAGAATTCCAGGGTTTTAGTTGATTTATCAGAAGTAGAAGGAGCAAACTTTTGATTAAATTGCCACAAATGTATGGGTTTTCGGTCCATTTTCGACCTGAAAGTGGGATTAGCATTTCATTGTTCACATGATCTATGACAGTTGGACAGAACTAACTATTGTTACTTGGGGAAAGTATTGGCTGACTGAATAGCGAGATTATTATAAAAGTTATTCACGGAAAGGGAGAGTCTGTGCGAGGTAGCGTTACCTTCATTCGACTGGCGGTACTCAGTACCATTATTCAGGCACGGGTTACATTTTTGCTCCTTAATTGGGAGCCTTCCTCGTGTTGCATAACTCTTGCTTCCCGAAGTTTCACACACCAGATGCTTATTCCTTCGAGAGAGCCATGAATTAAGTACTGGAAGACCAGAACTCCATGAGAGGTAGTGCATCTTAGCGGTTCTGGTGGTGATACAGCTAGTAATAGAAACTGACCAACTCCATTCGGATAAGCCAAGTATACAGGGTAACCGAGGCTCTGAGTAATGCCGAATATGGGGCGATGTTGAATTTTTTCTCATGACACCCTATGGGTCGCTAAAAAAACAGTTTTGTTCATACATTTCGATCCTGTGCTCTTTACAAGAAACATGGAGCGATAGTAAGTTCTGATGATTTCTGCTTGATCTTTACGTGAAAAGAAGTACATCGCACGTTTTCGGATATATTATCCAGGTTATTAAAGAATTTTCTCAGAATCAGCCATCATTTGTCTCCAAAAGGCACAAGTTTCATTCATTGAACTCGGTTATCAAATGTGATTAAATTCAAAGAAAATCATGGATTTAAAGTGATCGGTACCGTAAAAGAATACCTCAGTTTTTTGTAGACAGTACTTGCATTTTCAACGTCCTATTCACCCTTTTTTGAGACAGATGATGAATTAAACTAATTGGATTGAATATTGCTTTACTCTGGTGGTGGTGGCCAGTTTAGAAATCAAATTTTTATGCCTCCTAGCGTCCAGATTTTATCATATTTTAATTTTTTTGTGGGGATAACCTTTGAAAATGAACTAACTGGGGGGTTTAATTCAGCAAATTGTGTAAAGACGCAAACATGCTCTCCTGGCCAGTACTGAAAACCGCTTCGTTTAGGTCTACATGTGAAGAGAAACAAAGTGCCTTCATAATTGATGCGTTAAAAGGTTGCTAAGCTTGTCCAAGTTAACAAAAGTTGGGGATAGGGAGTCGATTCCGAAGTTCGAAAATCTTATAAATAAGGAAGGTGGCACCCTTTGTGTGAAGGAAAATACACACACACCCATCTGCGACATCAGAGGACATAAATTGAAATGGAGGTGTGCATATCCAAGTGCATGAAGCATCAGATACACTTTTTCATTAAATCTTGTTTTGATATTTTCCATTGCAATCAATGCGGTCGTACCAGCGTTCACTCCCCAACACTTAGTCATTCAAACACTTCCCTAAAGGTATGGTTAGGCTATTACACATGTGCCAGGTCAGAAAACCTGTGTAAGTCTCTAGTTCATCTAGAATCATTCTTTATTACAATTCATTGTTACTCCGGGTGTTGGTGGATGCTAGCGTGTGGGCGCGTTCCTCCGTTAACTTTTCATCTCACCACCCACCCGATCGATAGCAAACCCGGAGGCCCTTCTTTGGTCGGTGTGGGCTACGGGTTCATGGGTTGGGAACCACACCCACAAGATAAATGTGAACGCGTTTACGCCAACAATTAGTAGAATTTACAGTTTGCGAAGGCCAACCCTCGGCACAAAGTCGGTTTAGGTGCTGATGCACTCCCGAGGTGTGCAACACGAGAGCGTGCAGTTTTGGGTGTGCACACCCTGAAGAGGGCACAGCCAGCTGCCTCTCTTGAGCAACTAAGTACACTCCGAGCTACAACAGCAGTGATTGATTCTTGTGTTAACTTTCAAGTTAGTATAAGAAGTTGTTATTCAAGGGTATAGGAGTCGATTGGTATGTTAAGGGAATCTAGTAAGCGGTTGTAAAAGGAATATTAAAAATAACTTAGGATTTTTACAGCTTCATGTTTAACGAATGAGCAAGCTTTCTCTAATTTGACCGAAAATGTTGGAGAGTTTGCGACATGTAGAGCTGATTTGTCTGGTGTCGGGTGAGATGCGATAAACAGCGCAGATCACTTAATGGGCTGAAGTTATGATTCAAACGTCAACATTAAAATAACAACCACAAAAGTAATAGCTCCTTCTGTAATAACCATTTTTAAAAACCCACTTTCAGCATAATTCAAGCACATTTTTTGTCATTTTACGCCCACTGATTTGATAGCCTTCAAAGGCCAAGGTGGATGTTAAAGCAGGGCACAAGGCTGTCAGTTCGATTCACTCATTGGCTGCCATCTATATTCACTTCCCTTATGCTTCCCAAGTCATTAAGCCCTAATGTTATGCAGAAATCACAAGGACGCTTCATAGGAAATAACATCTAAGGGGATTGCCAAAATGCGTTTAGGTATGTTTTCGCTAAAAACCGACTGTAAAAAGCGTAATTTTGGAAGTAGGAGTTCTCAAGAGATTCAAAAAAATGATATAAATGCAAAATAATACTAAGACTGTGTGAGGTCATTGATATGAAGAAATACCAACTCGTGTTGATTCTGTTGAATTTATTCATTTGTATTATAGCCTAAGCTCACAATTTGAATTTATCGGGAAATAGCATATTTGAAAGAAAGCGATTGTTTTGGCGTCACTGATGTTGATTAGTCCCGGTTCCACCATAAGTGAGATGTTCCAGTAAAGGCAAGGTGATTATTAGAGCACATGCCGCACTTGGATTTCAAATGGTTAAAATAAACCGTGTCTTGTTTCCTAAAACTATAAAAAGCCGTCATAACAAGCACATGCGAGTTACATGCCAGTTGAAATTTCAACGTATGGACTTCTTGTGGTACAAACTGTAGTCTTGCAGTTGCCACAACAGCATGTCCCTTTGGAGAAGCATGCTTATTGTCTGACAGCCAAAATTAGTAACTACTGCTCCCCAAAGAGTCATCACAAATTCACACCAAATATGAATCATTTCATTATTTCAAAATCCACATTGTTTTGTGGGGAGGTCGTTGGTTTAATGAATGATTTGTCGCATCTAGCCGCAGGTTCAGTCATTTCAAAAACTTTTAAGGAAAAGAACTGATGTCAGCAGCAAATAGGTGAGGAAAATATTGTGATTGCCAAAGACAAGTGATTGATGATATGTCCTGAATAGCACATCAAGAGTGGCGAACCAACTGTCGGGATATCCTGTTGATTATCGAGGGGCACGATTGCGCATAAGGCAGTGGGAGGGTCGGACTGTGATAAAAGTTTTCTAGCCAACACCTAACTGTCAACAGAGGAGAGGGAGGTGTGGTGCGCCTATTTTGAACTTTCCCCCGAAAATGAAAACACTTGAGAACAAATATAACAGAGTTATATGTCAACAGTCTGCAGAGGACTAAATGTGCATGTGATTTTTGCAATCTCAATGCAGCTGTACGTTTCAATAAAATGTATGATTATCTGCTTTTACAAACCTCCGCTCTGTTTTATTCTCAGCCTATAACCACCTCTCATTACTAGATCTAATCAACTGATAAGCTTTAAGTGCAGAGCATTAGTGTCCACAGAACTGCGGGGAATGATTGATTAATCCACAATCTGTGATTGCATGAGTTCGCCATCAAAGGCTGGAACTCGTAGAAGCCGTTTATTTTGCTTCAAGAGTTGTATCTATCTTAGGCTAAGAATGTAAATTTTACTTGCGGGATGTGATTACCACAGCGGGTAACGCCGCTTTCTCTGTTAACGCGTCTCAAGCGTTCACTTTGACTAAAGACAGCTAAGTAACGGGCTTTTAGAGTAATTAACCGAGATTAATTGCTGATTAGCACTATGGTCGCAAGTTATTTTCCTTCTGCAATCGTATATGGTAGTGTCTTATTTGTTTACATTACATAAAACATGGACTTTTGATTGGTTTTGGAGAAACCTAGCTAAAAATGATGGGAATTTTACGATACTTTTATTGCTTGTTAGAATAGAGCCATTCCAAAGTCTCCTTAGTGTTTTTAAATGTAAGGTATTTCATAAAAAAAGAAACAATGCCATTTTCGGAAGGAAAACGCTACTCACAACCACTGGCCTGTCACCAGATTTAATGGTCCACAAGTACATAAAGGAAGTCGACAGTATTTTGTTTAAATCGCTACAATTCAGTAACCTAATAATTATCACAAATAGCTTCCGGGCATGTGAAAACACCTACAGATCAGGAATTGAAGGGGAGATGGCTTTCACGGCGAAGCAGCAAAGGGAAGACTGAAAATCATTTGTGCGACCTTACACGCATGAAGCGGTCAATAGATTTGGACTCTACTATTGAGACCATCAAGCTCATCTTTTCAGTAAAAGCCACCAATTTTCCGGTTTCTCCACGAACCCAAAATCCATCCATTTAATGAAGGTCAAAGTGTGCTTAGAAAAGTTTTTACTGGCTATCATTTCACTAAACATGTTATTAAACAGAACACGCAATCAAGAAGTGGTGAGGGCGTTGCACGCCGACCTTAGAGAAAGCCATGGGTCCACACGCTTATTTTAGTTATCTAGAGTCGATACTCGACTGATCGAGGCTGTCGAAAGTCTCTTAGACTGAAAAGTGACCTTTGGTTATCTTTCTTTACAACATACGTAAATCCAATGCTTGATTAATGAAAGTCCTGTCAAAAAGTAAATGTACCAAATATTTTTGAAAAGTAAACGAATTCAGAATAGAATTACTAATTATATCAAGTCTGAAGAAATCCCCAAAATACATTTAAATGAACCAGTGTATTCAATGCATGGCTATTAAATGAGGTTTAAATGCAATCTAATAAAACACGTATCACTTCGATATGCTTGCGGCATCTACCATTGTACGAATGCAAAGGAAACTTTTTTTGGCAACAGTGCAGTCAAATCTTCCTCGAAATGACCAAATTAGGAAGACAGAATCGAAAGAAGTCAAAACTTATCTGTGATATAAATGTGGAAATGTTTGCTAAAAACGCAAATCAAAGCTTCAAGGTGATCCTTTGGAAAACCAAAACTAAGCATACTCGCTGACAGCGGCTGTTTATCCGGCACCTCCTTGTTTCTGTGATCAAAGTCGTTCTGTCAATTAAACTTTAAGTGTTGTTCCGTGTGTAGTTTTTGGTGTCTGCCATGTTGCATTGTGATGTACATTCATCAGAAAGGCAAGCCTTTTGATTCAATTATAGAATAGATTTTTTATGCGTAGGCCAAACTTTGGATGCAATTCCACAACTCCTACAAATCCAAAAGCCAACTTTGAGATGATTTGTTGACTGGAGACGTGGATGGGTTCGAATTCCCTTGATTGAACCACTCTTCCAACAACAACCAAACGATATGGCAAAATGCGAGCAATAACTGACGGTTTAGCTAACAAACGAGCATAAGATCCACACACTGATCAGAACGACCTTTTTATGAACTCTAATAAATACCACTCTGCGATTAAATTCATAAACTAACGAACGAACAACATCAACACTAGGTTTTGGCTTTTGAACTCCTTTAATCCGACTTTGATTGCGTTTTAGATAGATCAAACGATAAAGCAAATAAAATTTGGACACATTCACTTTTCAGGTGCCGTCCAAGTCGCAGATGAGGGTAGCGTGATCTTTCATTTGTGTGAGTTCTGGAAACTTTTGCATTCCATAGTTGAGCACATGCGATTGTTTCATTAAATTGACGTTCATAAGCCACAATTTTGAGCGTGTTTTAGGCATACTCTCTGGCTTTGTGCCATTTTGAACTACCAAGTTGTTTGCCGTGATCCCACCTTATATTGGGATTTCCCACCAAAAATAGGTTATGTTTGAACCAAAGGCGGATGTCCTCATCAGTCCTTAAAAACTTCACTAGCCTCAGATGAATATTTTTAACCGGCAGTAGCTAGCTAATAACTGTAAAGCCTCGATTTAAAAAAGGGCATGATTTACGACCTCTTTTTGCAAACAACTGCAGTCCACCAGGTAAATGTTATAGTAAAACCACCCGAGAAAATTCCACTACCACATAGATTTAGCAAAACTGTCTTTCTTGATTATCAGAGAAATTTGAGTTGGGAGAAATCGCTGTAGAGGAAAACACAAACCCAAATCCCTTTCGGGCTTCCACCATGTACGAATGTTGAATACATGATGCATCCTTACGGGAAAGAGATGCTAGTCACAAGACCAGTCAGCCTACAATCATTAGGTACCTGACTCATCCTGTTTTTTTAACAGACTCAACCGTCTCTTCGCATCTTATAGGTGCTAGCTTAACGAAATATTCAACCTTCTCCCCAACCAGGCCCTTTTCCATCTGTTTTGAGTCCTCTCTGCATACTCATTAACGTGGTTGCACTGTTCAAGCAATAAATTTTGGTGTCTACAATTATAAAAGTTAGGCGTTCTTGTGGAATTCCAAAGTTTCCGTTCACCAACTTGATGCAGATATGGATTGAGTTCTATGAGACCTCGTAACGACTTAGTCACCAACTGATCTTATTGTGGAAGTTCTACGTTTGCGAGTTGCCTGGATCTGAAGTGATCAATCAAAAGGCAAAACTTCGGTACAAAGGTCTTTATTGCTGACATAATATGCGAGACCGCTTGAGTGAAATTGCGTGTTGGTGACTTCAGTGGCTGATTGATCGTGGTCCTCGAGTAGTCATTGGTGTACTCAGAGTACACCTCTGCTTGATGTGCGCCAATCAGAAAGGAGTGAGAGATAACATGACTTTATAAAATATTCGGAGCCTGAATAGGAACTTCCAAACATCCGGTCGGACACCCTTTCCTGGGGTTGCGGACAGCCCCAGCCGATTTGCCCCAAAAAATCTCAATTGTCCTAGTTTACCCAATGAATGCATGCCTACAACTTTCCCCAAGTGCGTATATTTTTCATCATCCTAATCCCTAGGTAAGGTCATGAATCACATATCAAGGTGAGTAAAACCCTCGGGTTAGTTAAGGCCATTCAATCCACATTCAGACCCATATTCCAATGTCTTGACTGGAGAAGTGGTGGTCTAACTGTAGTTTCATTTGGTCAAGAAAGTGCCACATCATCCTCACTACCCTCAACTCAGTCCATCTATTTCGGTTTGATTTGCTGCCGCCATCTACCACGAAGTGATTGAAAACAGATCACACACTTGAGATGCGGGACTTAGGTAAGGAACTCAAGGCATCGGTGAAGAATGTGTTAAAAATTCATAAAACTAGTTTTGTGAAATATAAAAAATTAAAGATATTTTGCCGCCATAAAATCACATAGGAATTCTTCTCTTTGAAGTACTTGCTTACGAGTCGGTCTCATTTTTTAGTACTACGGAAATTTGCAGAAAGGAGGACAAAATCTACGCTAAACACAAGTTTCCAGTTCCAACAGTACAACTTCAAATATGACGCAGCTTGTGGCCAGAAGTTTTTTAGCATTCCCTTAGCCGTCTGCAGCGAAGATTTGGAGAATGCATCGTTTTTTGGTGTCACTAGTTCTTGCGTATGTAAGATATGCAAATATCCCCGAAAATCTGCTGAAAATTAAGCCTTGGTGACTATCTGATCTGGGTGGTTGCTAAAAATATTTCGGAATATCGATGGCAACTTTTGCAGCTGGGCTTAGTGGTTCCTAGTCAAACGTGATGCACAGTTCCTTTGTTATAGCTACATAAAAGGATTTAAGGCGATTGCTAAATTTGAAATCGAGGGAACGGCTTAGGAGGGGTCGAACGCATCCTACCTTTCACGTCCTAAGATGCTCCCTTGTTCACTTTACCCGCGGCTTCAATTACCACTTTAATGCCCTTGACATCCGTCCACACATAGCCTCCCAACCCCTTTATGCATCAGTAGTGTATCTTCCTTCTACAGTGGTATACCTTATTACGCCTTTGAAAGGGACTCCAGTTGCTAAGGCTAAATTAATAGAGGCTGATAATATTGATGTATTTTCTATGGGTACCAAATTTTGAGAAAATGCCTCCTTAAAATAAGTATTTCTACATATTTTAAGGCTGATATTATACCTCACTTATGAGACAGTCCCGTTTGTTGAGGGAACCTTGAGATACGAAAGCCAAAAGCACCCACCTCTATAGATGAAGCATACCATTCAGCGTAGATGAAATATTTCTAGGCTTCAGCAGAGATTGTAGCAATTGTTAAAAACGATGGAAATATTTAGAAGTTTAATATAGAACATTTTAGGTAGAAAGGTTAATATGGATTGAGAGGGCTCAAAAATCATCCCGCCTTTCAGTCTAAACGACATGGGTAAGATAAGGCATTATCCAGAAATGCAGCATAAAGGAAGAAGGGAATGGATAGAAGAAATCTTTTGGGTCAGCTCTGAAGTCAGAGCTCCTCTCCCAACAAATGGATTGCCGCAAGGCCTGTGCAAAGCCAGTCGGTCACGTGATGGAGCGAACAAGAGAATCCTGCTTGGGGCATCCTCGCACTCACATAACTGGCTCGGTGGGGAGGGGATCAAATACAATCCTTCGCGGGCACGATAACGCATCGAGAGCCCCCTTTCTTTATCGATTGTCACGTGACTGAAATGCACGTCATACGCCTATGGGCAAGGTGGAATAGCAGCCAATGCTTGAAATGCACCTTACTTGCCTTTTTTTGTACATGCTCCAGAATCCGCAGTTTTTGCTAAATTTGTTCTAACCAAACTCCCGACTTCTTTGTTGATTAACAAGGAGGTCATTCGAGGAACGTGCCCACTTCATTGGGCAAAATCGGTGACATTGCTTTAATTTTACATGAAATACAAAATAACTTCAGGAAAGCTGTTTAATTCCATTGGACGTCATTTTATGTGAAATAACGGCAACAAATGAACAAGCAACTTTGCTGTTTTGTACCAGTACAGAATAGAATTGTTCTTAATAGATTTGACGAAAAATATGTTTCGAATGATAAAATCGTTTACATTGCTGTGAAATGTAGGTCTGTAATCGCTGTGTGGCAAGTTGAACGAAAACCGCGTAATGAACTTAGTAATAGCATTCCTTTCTATGGACTCAAGATGCCAGTCCAGAGCAGTGTTTTAGTATTGAAAAGAGTGTAAGACAGCAGAACATATAGTGTTGGATATTTTTGAAGTCAAAATACGTGTGCATACAACCGCATCTTAAAGACTCTCGATTCTTTTTGTAGTTCGACACTGACCAACCCATGGAAAACTATTTAATGTTCATCGTCCTGAAAAAGGCAAATGAAGTGAAGGGCATTCCCTACCCCTCATAACCCAACTTTAGTGTATCAAATCCCATCGAATTTTGCAACCACCCAAGTATCCCTGAAGCTGTAATAAGGCATAGCAATAAAAGAGTATGAGTTATTACTAGCATACAGCGGGACTGAAAGGCAATTAAAGCCGACGGAAGGCCATATCACCAAAGTTATGGCTAAACCTGCCAAGACTGAAGAGACCACGTTGTTAACTACTCGTTTGCGAAAATATAGCTCAACTGCATAGCCTCCTTTGTATTTAAATGCAGGAGGCTATTAAGATTCCATTATGTAAAACTACGGTGCCTCCCATGGCTACCCACTTGCTTCGATCATAAAAGGCATTTATATGAATTTCAAACATCTACGAAGGGCAAGCACTAGGTGGAGTAGACTCATTTACTAGTCTCTGATACCCAAATATTGCGTCCTTTCAAAACGAAGTAGGTTGGAGATTTTTAGCGCTGTTTACTAGACGGGATTCTGCGGTGAGTAAATCCTGTACGCCAGTCTACTTCCGTTGTAATATTTGCATGAAACTAACTTGATGGAGAGAGGTCGATTTTAGTTTTGTAGGACCCGATCCCACCTTAATTGCGGCCATTGTGCCAAACTCTGGATTTGGATTTGGCAAAAGTCGACGGCACTTCAGTCCTTCTTCCGTGAGTCTCCTCAGATTCGTTATCCACATCAAACGCCTTCTCATGTAACTTAAAGGTTTGGTATCCAATCGCCGAATTTGAGCTTTTGTTCATTTGGGCCGACTTTGGTCACCACTGGCACTACCTCCAAAGAAGTAATAAAACGTGGGGTTTGGCACAAAACTCACAAATGACATACGAAAGGATCGAGAAGCTGTATGCATCCGCAGAGAGTCATGATGACTAGAGGCGAAAAAGCCCGTGTTATCGAATGCATGGTTGAAACAGATGTCACTTTAAAACACGACTAATGTGATGTGTTACTTTTCAATGCCACAAATTAAGCCCAATTTAAACTTTTACTAATTCCTAGTTGTGAGTAGTTAGACGTGAAGCTACAGACAGTCTCCTCAGTGGTTAGCTGGATGGAGGGTTAGCTTAGTTTTACCTTGGCAGGAATCAATTCATATCGGAGCAGCACACCTGACAGCGTTCCTGATTAAACAAAGGGGTTTGATGATTAATGAATTAAACAGGAAGTTGTGGCATATCGACCAAAGCAATCATTTCAAAAACCGTAGTTTAAGATATTTGCTAAACTTATTCCAATTATAGGCTGTGTTTTTTGCTGCAAGATACTTTGAGAATATGAACTCTTGATAACAAAGCCTTTTCGTACGGGAATTTTGATAAACTAAGGCGAGACATTTATGGCATGGACCAATCTACTACTGGTGGCAATGATACTGAAAAATTAGCTATTTAAAATATAAACAATTATATTCACAAATAAGCATACAGATTGGTTACTGTTCCATCAAAAAGGTAGGCTTACCTGAATCCTCATTAAGGTCCTACCTACGATAATTCGGTATTCAGCAAAAAATTTTGTCGGCTGATTCGATCGTTTATCCCCTGAAATGTTTCTTTTACAGAAATATGAATTTAAAAGAGAGCCTATGAGTTAAAATGGATAAGCGAGATTTGGTAATATCATTTTCCTGATTTGCAAAAATTTTACTCCAGTACATGCCTCAAGCGCCTTGATGACAGAAGCGGCAGGAACAATAAATTCGAAGATTCTATGTGTAAGCGAATTAAGATAGTTTGAAAGTCTGGACGACCAAGTTATATGATAAATGGGGGCCTGTGTTTGGGTTCAGAGTCACCGAGATCACCCGCGTATTTAGAACAATCATTGATCGAAACCTGGAAGACATATTTCTACGAAAGCTTTTCATGGTCTCTTCACCCAGCCCTCATAAGTCATAGGCCCGATAAATTCAATTGTCCACTTCTTGACTCCCAAATAATCGTGCCTCCTACATTCCATGGGTTGGTTTTAAAATCTGGCTGATTATCAAATGTCAACAGCTAGGAATTGGCAAAACCCTATTTGAAACAGCAGAATTTCTTTAAATTGGTTTCACCTGAATTAGCAATTTAACCTGATGCGAGGGCGCATCTGGAGTGGCTAGTTTATTTAAAAGCCATAGGATAATTTCAATGAGGCAACTCAAACAGCCCAAGTTGGTCCTTAAATTGAGCTAGCACATACTACCTTACAGCGAATTTTACAAAGACCTCGACTCAAATTCATAAGGCAACGGTCGCTCTTTTTGCATAATCGCAAATAGAGTCGCTTCAAAAACCCAGCTTTAAATTCATTCAAAGCTGCCTCTTCTGCTAAAATGATGTGGTTACAAGAAGGGTTACAACTTTCAATTTCCATGTTTAAACACAAGCCTAGTAAGGCAGCCTCCAACAAAAAACAATTTTTAATTGCAGAAACTGGCCGTTAAGGCAAAGCCCTTCACGAAGCACTGGAATCATCCAAATCCATTTTAACCTACTCAGAGAAGGCTAATTGGATTTCCTATTGCTCTTGTTTACTGTGCACAACTTTGACATTACCTAAATTCCATTCGTACATATCACGACTCGCATTTACACGGCAATTGGATTATTCGTCTGGTGAAATTGACGTAGAGGGCGAAAGCAAAGCCTCCAAATCAGTCTACTAAGGACTGTCGTGCTAACAAGCGGCGTTTTCATGTTTCTGGCCTGATAAAACCTTCGTAAATAGACAACGCTAAATCATGCGCCATAATTTGCCTTTATTCGCAGGCAAACACCAATGTCGCTTGTGATACCTCTTCACAAGGTAATGGTAGTATCTCCACCTCAACTGAGTGCCGATGCCACAAGTCTCATGAGCAGAATGCGTCTGCACTGTGGGTCCGACCACTCCAACAGCCTTAGGATTGGCTACCTCATTTTGTGAGGCTATTTTATGAAGACTTCACACCTCCATACACCTCTGCTTTGCATAAAATTCAATTTGAAGAATGACCGATGGTGATGTCAGTGACGTGCACAAAAGGACGAATTTGGCATTAACGATTTATGTCATGTTGACTGGAAATTGATATGGGATGGCCAGCCTTGTTGGAATCTTGACAGCAAACACATTCAGGTGACCGGAAAGTTCGTTTAGTTTTCAGCCACTTGTGACTTGTAGGCACTTAAAAACTGCATGTTATCGTTTACTTGCATGCATTGTCAAGCACTGCCATGCGTCATTCTGTCATCGGCATGGTAGTCTGCTCTACTCTTGACTGCGCTCCTGATTGTACTATTCCCCACCAAGTAGGGACACTCACATTGTGCACGATCGGTGAAACCAACCTGATGAATGCGCTTCACACTCGTCTGCCCTACTAGTCGAGACTGACTCTATTGCATGGCCGCAGAGGGCAGCTTTCTGTTCAATCAGATACAGAGGAACTGGTGAAGGTGAGGTGTGTGGCGGCGAAAAGTACCATCCAGAAGTGGTACGGAAACAAACTGATTGTTTTGGGGTGATGAATCTCCACAGGATGATGTATGCGGTTCAGGAAGACGCTTTAGTGTTAACACTTGATAATTGTGAGGAAGTGCGTGTCACCAGTGGCACACTGACACAGAAATTGAAGACCGAGTTGTGAAGAACAGGCGTCAGTCATGTTGAGAGTGCGTGGTGGGGAAGCAATTTGCTGAAACCTACATCGGGTGGGCAGCAGCAGATGGCAGACGAGGAGCCTAGGCTGGTGGAATGGTTACAACCTGGCTTACTGCTAGTCATAAAAAGTGCATTGAAAACTTTTATGGCCTTAAATTTCTGTGACGAAAGACTACATCATTGGCTATTCCCTGGCGATCCATTGCTTTGAGATCCACTCCACACATCGAACCCACGCGCCACTTCGTCCATAAAAGTGAGTGTACTTGTATGCAGGTGCGGTGAACTGCAGACGTGACTCTGAATTAGTGATGTGTTAAGAATGCGAAATATCAAACAATATTTTCAACAGCTTACCAATTATCTCGTTCAACTTAAGCTAAAACGTGTGAGATTGAGAGTGATATAACCTAAGTAATTAAGGTGGGTTACTTTATCGGAAAAGTCTAATCTTTGATGTTTCACTTACCATATGAAGGTATTTTTTAGTGCATGATACATTAAGGAAGGCCTGGTGGCGAATGCTACCGACAAACTATCATAAGTTTATCAGAAAACTTCTACAATGTGTATTGTACCCTAAATTTATCGCTCAAATGGGAAGTTGTTTTTTCCCCACAATCATGGCGCGTGAGAATCAACAATTGCACTTGAGTTGTCTTAGCATCCTGTCGCACGCGACGCTTTTGCACTCCTTTTCCTTGTCCAAACAGTGGCAGCAAATTGGAGTACTTTACATTCTCAAAGTGGATCAAATACCTCCGAGTACTCTCTACTGATTTTTGAAATTTAGCGCAATTTCTAATAAAACCAATTGTGCTTAGAGCTCACATTTCCTCATAGTCAGCAAGGCGCCCGATCCCATGTCTCCAGGTCACTATTACCACAGGACGGTTCTTGTAGAGAAGCTACAAGCGCCTCCATTACAGCTGCTCCGGTGAGTACGTGGAAGTTACATCTAACGCTTTTCATTCTATTCAAGTATTCATTCAAACATCCTACGAATATGATTCACCTTTGAGTGACATTAGTGTACCGACAAACCGCTGTAAAATATACGTAAAAGGGAAAAGGAAAACCCCATTCCCATGACCTCGATAGTGGCAGCAGGCATTTCATCTTATGTCCTGAATCCTAATTAATGCGTGGATGATAAGTGCCAGTCCAGCATGGAGTCAGAATACGATGTCATCAATCCAAACATAACTGATGGCGTGATTTGCTGTCAATGAAAAGAAGTGCGGAAGCAGGCAGACAGTTCCATAAGCTCGTACGCACACATATGACAGCCGACGAAGTGGAGGACCGCGTCAGTAGTTCCCATCTTTGTCAGTTAGATGTGGGTCGTTCAGAGGTCCAGTGCCGTGAGGAAAATTCAAGAGGCATGCGTCATAATATCTGGCAAGGCCATGACCAATTCGCCACCTCCACTCACTGTCAACCAATTTGACATGCTGTGCCTTTGGCTAGCTACAGGTCACATGCTGCATTTCGCTCCCAGTCAATGCTAATTGAGTCCTTTGCACATCTCCCTCCCTTCTCCCTGTCAAAGTGCCTTCAATGGCCATTAATTACTCAGCCTTGCAGCCAGCATTCTCTCTTCAAAGCCTTCAACATTCAACTCCAATCACTACTTACTATTTCAACGTTGGCCTTGGCGGAACGCAGCCAAGTTGAGGCGTCTTTTTGCAGTTGGGTGAGCTCAGGAACCGAACAATCAACTTACACATGCTTAGAGTGGGTAAAATGTCTGCAACTTGCAAGCAAATTAGTACCTAAGGTGCGTATTTAAGGCCTATGCTCCCAGACTTCTTGAGGAGAACTGTTCACTTTGAGCCATGGCGATAAGATGCATGGTGTTCCATGACCATGACATCACTCTCTCGTTAATTGAAATTTCATGTCTACAGCGGTAGCACACCGATTATCACCTGCGTGGGAAATAAATTCACAAAAACTAATATTCATGAAAGTGCTGCGCGGAATTGTTAGTCAAGTTAGTGACACTGGACTCACCTCAAATTGAGGTGAGGTGCACTATTAACCGACACACATCAAAGGGACTCCGATTTCGATCAGATACCCTTCTCGTCGCCAAACAGGATGGGGTAGTTGCAGCAACGAATGAATGATACTTCTCCCGTTTGGCTCTCATGCAGGAAAGTTTGTGTCAAAATTTCATTGGAATTTGTTGTCTCTGATCTCATATAGTCAAGGCAACAATTATGAAACATATTCGTGGAGCATTTGGGTGAAGACCGTGGCTTTGGTTATTGCTGCTGAAGTCTGCTCAACCGAAGCGTCTTGAAGGCCAACAGTATGTCTCCAGTGGTGCGGCTGTGCAGCCGAGCAGTTGTATTAGTCTTTCAAAGCACCCATATTGATACTTTCTTTGAAGGAGGTTGTAAAGGTAGCTTGACAATAGGGCGAATGGCAAAAGCGAATGAAGTAGGTGTGAAGTGGTACTTCAGAGGTGGAGAGAGAGAGAAGTTGCCTCATTAATTGCTTAGAAGTCGAAGGGTTCAGAAAAGGCGAGAATACTTACTCTGGTGTGTGAGACCGCTGGTCGTGGGCTTCTTGGTGGCGATTCTTACTGTGGTGATATCCCACTCACCGCAACAGCGGTCGATCCTATGACCATTCAGCATGTGAAACTTCCCTAGTAGCCTGAGTTATGATATACCAATAAATCCCCCAACAACACTAGACGCTAGTCCTAGACGTCGGTTTTCATGACACACCCGAGGTCAAGCATCGCCTTGTCTGTACACCAGAAACTAAAGAGCCCATTCATTGAACCTGGCACAAAAATGTGAGAATCAGTTGAGGAATAATTGTGGATTAAACGTGACTAAGTTTGGGAAAAGACGTGCAAATGCCATCTACATTATGGTGCGCACCGGCAATACATCATCACAACGGAACAAAGGCTAGTCAATTTAATGATGGAGGGAAAAAGTATCCATCATCGTTTAATGAAGTAGTCATGTCATTTGATGAGGGGCATTTTGATTCATCGTCACATGTCACCATCACGTGACTAGTGGCTGGGAGCGGCAACAGCAACACGTGTCCGCGCCCGCCGCGTCAGCAGCAGCCAACCTCCCAATGCTACTGCAACTTCAATACGGATGCGCGATCACGCTGACATGACGTTTTCCATCTAGATTGTTTCCTGAATCGCGTCAGGTTTTAGTACAGTTCAATCACTACTGGTAATTTGGTCATGTTCGAAGTTGTTCAAAGTGGATCTCATCTTTTTCTTGAGCACTAGAGCGCCACCGATGGGGCGCCAAATTTCTGGTATGAGTATGCTGAATTCATCTTCATTACCCTTCCCCTTTGTCACCTGTTATCGCACTTAGCCATGCGCAGATGGATCGGCGTACAAATGCGGCTTTCAGCGGGTTTTGCGGGGCCGTTATGAATGTGTCAACGAATTAAAAGCAAATGAACGCGTCGAAGGGGTGGGCAAGTGGTGGGGTTGAAAGGTTCAATATCGTAAAGCACATTTCCAGTAATGCAATGGTAAGGCCTAGGAGGACGTGAATGGAGGGTTTCTTTCCAAGGGGTTGGTTCCGATTAAATATGAAAGAAGAGGATGTGAAAGGGCGAAAGTTACATCCGTATCAAAGTGAAAGTTGCCCTCTTAACGAATCAAAGCCTTGTTTCATGTTCCATATATTTCAAGGTGTCAGTGTCAATTTGGCTGCAAACCAAATGGAGTTAGTTCCCACTTTTTGCCCTACCGTTAAGGTGAATGCTGTGTCTTGTCAAAGCACAACTTTAAATATGCGTTAAAAAGGTGCGTAAAAATAGCATGTTGTAGAAAGAAAGGTCTTGTATAAAACAAATAAAGGATATGTTTTGCTAGGGTTTCATTGCGTCGTATAGGGAGGGATGCAACTGCGGTCCTGCTTTACCTATCTCTATCAAAGGGGTAATTTATTTGTCAACACATAAGTAAAGTAATTTTCAGTCTCAAAGGTTTCCATTTCGTCTTCTGGACACTTTATTTAACTATATAATGATCGGACCTCCCGGAAAATGACAAAATTTACTTGTCCAGAGATACCTTTCCTAAAGCATGGCCGATAGTACTTGACTCATGTGTTTAAAGTGAAATACTTTCATTTTCCTGGAGGATAAACGACCAAATGAGGATGTTTACTGGAGCTATTTAAGAATGTATGCAGTACGATTGTTGGTAAGGTCGCGCAGGAGACACTCAGCCGTGTCGCTTCTACCCAGAATTAGGGACCCTGCTGCTGGAAAAATTGTGATACATTTCTACATATAAAGACGGCGAATATTAAGCTGCTTTCGTCATTTAGTTTTACACAGATTTTAAGTGAAATGCTTAAAAAGCCAATTGGGCCTAGTTTTCGTGTGGCGTTACTCTCAAAACGGCATTGGCGAGAAGCTAAGATTTTTCACAGTGAAAGGGGCGAAAAAAATATGTTTACTTCATTTTGGAACGCTTTGGGTCTTAAGATATAAATATAAACTTTGTATGGTAAAAACATGAATGCGTTAATGACTCACAAAATCATATAAGTGGATTTCGAGTACTTAACACGGCAAATCAGGTTGTTGGTAAATGTTGGTAAACGCTTCTACTAAACATAACTTCTAGCGGTTTTAAAATTAACAAAATGCATTAATTCGTTCTTATCGTGAGGAGTGTGACCTCTTCACAACCAACTTTGCACGTTTCTGTGCTCTGGTGTAGGAAAAGTTAGGTGGCCTTAGCATCATATAGTAGTTTACTCAGTGAAAAACAATTCTATAGGCATTTTGGACTACCACAAAACGCCGCCGACTTCCTGTTTCTACCTACTTCGAGCCAAATACGAAGGGAGTGACATCTAAAGAATAGCCCGTTGGTATGAGGTTGGACTAGAATGCCTAGGATAGTATTTTAGCGCAATAAGAGGGTATATACTACTTAGCCTTTAAATGAGGGTTGCTAAATTAGTAGTTCACTTTTTAGTCCGACTGAAAGCGAATCAAATTGCAAGCATCTGGTTTAGGAAACTACTATTTCATTAAGGGATGATAAACATTAAATAGTGCGGCCTTAACCTTCAGTTAATAATTGGTCGATTTTACTCGCTATGATTACCATTCCTAGTCTTTCTACTAATCAAGTTTTCCTTATTATTACTATGCTTTTTAAAATGAGCGTTGTCTTCAAAATCAAAAGTCAACCAGAATAAATAAAAATGATTTGAAATCCTAAAGTCATTTCAGTGTTGTCGAAGTGGAAATCATGCTTCGAGACGGAAAGAATGCATTGAAAATTGATGGGGCTTAAAAAGTGTACGTCTGACTAGTTGCATTACCAGATTTCTCCCTATCGCTTATGAGATGGGTAAGGCCCTGTTATAACAAGCGGCCACTTTCTAGTAACATTAATAATAAAAACAAAAAGACCCTGTCCAACAACTTACTCTCCTTGGGAGAGGTCATACAATGCGCAAAACAGGAGCACTTATCTAGCTTTCGAAGCATCTAAACAATAAGTAACGTGTTCCTAGAAGAAGCGGTAGTTTTAAGGATTGTATAATATGATAGTCAGATGAGTCTTTTTGCTTCGTTTTTAAGCCAATTTTGGGGAAGTCAAGTTATAAGAAAGTGTAGATTTCGACACAGATTCTTTAATCTATGGAAAACGTCGTCTTTATCGACTCCATTTTGACGCCTCTTTTATGAGAAAGAGTCAAAAAAAAGAGCTGCATGTAATGGAGCTGCTATTGTCACTCGGAAATTGTGATGCATCCGCTACTCTCAGGGTGAATAATAAGTAGGAGAAAGAGATGGGGTGAATGAAACAATTCTGTTAACAATTCTAAAATGAAATCAAATCAGCCAAAGGAAGCCAATTCCACTTTCCAAATATTCTCAATGAAAATACGAATTATACTTTTCCAAAGATAAGTTTGACAAAGGGCAAGCCCCGAATCATCGATATTTGCATAGCTCTACAGTAATATTACTTAGGCATTGACACAAAACCACGTTTGAAACCTTTCAATGCTACTGCAGAAGTTGAATAGGAATAAGCACAAAATAAAACCTCCAAAAAATGACGTTTGACCTCTTAAGGACTGTCTGAATAAATAAAAGTGCTGTTTCCAGGACATTTACCCATCAAACCGACCCCAAGGTTGACATGGTTTCCAGCGCTATCTTTCTATTACTCTACTAGTCTCATAAACAGGTTACCACTTTTATCTCGATTTAGTATACAAATGAAAAAATGTCACTTTTGCAGCCTTTTGAACTCCTATAATTTAGGTACTTATGTAAATTGTTATGACACAAAACTTACCAACCAACCAAATCTTTGCCGTACTGACCAATGAGTGGTTTATTGGAAGACGATTAAGTTGGTCACAAATGGCATATTTCCGACGGAATGGAAGTAGCTTATCAAAAGCTCGAATTCTAGGTTTTGGTACTGCAAGAGGAGTAGAATAGCGGAAAATGCATAACTCCCATAGGTTATTTAGATGATAAATTTTACTATGTAAATTTCCTAAGTCGGTTGCAAATCGAATAAAATCCTTCGAAGAGGTCAGTAATTCACTGTTCTACCGAAGGACACTACGCTTTAATTTGGGAAAAGTTCGAGTGATAGTAGCATCTGCAAAACAGTGGACATTTAAAAGAAGCGTGAACAACAATGAAGACAAAGACTATTACCAATTTTTAAAATTTTTCAAACCCAAAGTGTTACAAAGACGCTGCATTCGAACACTTTAACTTCACGAGAAAAGCGCTTCTTTTGAGACTAATATATTTTACGTGAATAATTTTAAATTGTTCAATCAGAAGAAAGTCGTCACTTTCACTAAAGCTCAAGCGGGTGATTTGAAAAAGTCGACAATCTTGTATGTCAGGTAAACAGAAAGTAGTAGCAATTTCGGTGAGGGAGTCGGTAAGTGGCATTCATTTACGGTAGCTAAATTTGCTCGGAACTTTTTCAATCACTGCGGCGCTGCCCATATAAAGGTAAACAATGCCGACGTTCGTGGCTGTTGTATCAACAACTTGAAGGCCTTTGATCACTTCACAAAAGGATCATCAAAGAGAAAGTACATTCAATTTGGTAAACTCCTCCTTGGATATTCAATCGTTGTGCAAAATTAGAGAAGTGTAAGTGACTACGCCTGTTGAGTGTCCGATTTCCGCACAACAAACGCTAAAACCGTCCACGAATTAATGGCAAATACACGTGCTGCCGCATGGAATGCTTGAAGAATGTCAATTATGTCGCCAACTATTCTCTCACACTCACAAGAAGCAACTCTATACCAGACTGAGACTCCGTTATCTTTGATTACCCATGCCTGAGAGTAAACGCTTCGCCGAAGTGCCATTCGACTTGCTCCATTACGTCGTGATTTCAGGCGGGTGAACTGCCTCCAGCTAACTTGAAAGCCACCAATCAGCTACGGTTCGACCGTGCGTCTGCATTACCACACTTTGACCGATGTAAACACCTTTATTCAAATAATGGGGCGATTATTTCCTTCTAGTTTTTAGGTATTTTTTGTTCAGCTGGCTAAAAGACAATCTAAAAATGTTTGGCATGGCTTTATGCATAAATTTTGGAAATTCAGCAGAGCAACTGTCACGTCAAAACTTGACATTTATCTGGATAGTGGATCACGTTCGGAAAACCAAGCCAAAACCGCTTCAAAAATTACTTACATTTTCGAGTTCTATGATCAAGTAGATTACCTGCCCATTGACGCCAACTCTTGCTCTACTATCCAGTTGTCACCAAACCCCCGCCGCACATTTTGACGGAGATAAAAGTTGTTTGTCTATTTGTTCATGTGACCCACGTGCATACCATATATTGAAACCGGTGATTTAAACGTCGAGAAGGCCAGTGATTAGAACTTGAGGATATGTCATTTAATTGGACCTTACCCGAGATTTTGAGAATACAATTTTTAATTTTTTGAAAAAGGGTGGATGATGATCTTACAGCCGATATTTAGGAGTTGAACTTATGCAAAGCATATGGTAAAGAAAAACTAATTTGGAGAAGTGTTTTTGCTTGAGGCATTCTTTATTATTTTTATGAGTGCACGAAAACTAAAAATTTCAAATAAAGGCCTCATATTTAATCAAAATCTAGTCTGTCGCCTAAGTACAACTTTTTTGACCCATATCCAAGCGGAACAAAGAGAAAACCATTTTATGTATTTTGGGCACTCCAGAAGCTAGGAGCGGAAAAGTTAACTTCCAAGGAATCCATGCAGCACCAATAAAATGAAATACTAGAACACCACTAACATAGAAGAAATAAGTAACTTGTAGTACATTTCCTACAGTTTTTTTCTATGACCTGAAGCATAAACTCGAATGGAACGCACTTATTGCCTTGTAATCAGGCAAAATATATATGGGTGATCATCCATAATACATTTATGCAGTATTAAACCAAACACTGCATTTTCGCTACACCGTTTCTTTTCCACCAAAAGTATGCAATGGTAGGGCTCGTTACATTTGTGGCATTTGAATAAATCGACGCTGAGAACAAAACAGATCCTTCAAAGTTACGTGGAAAAGCAAGTGCTCTCACGGTGACTTCAGCCAAAAAGCCACTTTAAATCCTTTTCATTCCCTTCGGAAATCTTCGAGGTAAAGTAGGGTTAACGTGCACAGAAGGATAAAGTTGGAAAACTTCCTACAAAAGGCTATCATTTTCGAATGTGATCAACCATTTGCCAAAAATTATCAAATCAAACGCGCTAAAAAGGATGGGATGTAGAGCATGTCCCAGTACAGGAACAACGGACTAAAAAACGTTGACTGTGCATTTTGAGGCTTATTACAACAGGGATAAAGCATGAAAGGGTGAGGTAGATCAAAACTTAAAAGTGGAGTTTGGGAATTGTATTTTATTAAATATAACTACAAATTAATCGCCATAAGAATTCTAATTGAATTTATCAGAATTGCCTAATAAAATTATTCGTAATAATAACGATAAGCAGTAAAACCGCCGGAATCGATTGTTTAAGCAAGAAGATTAGATTTCCCAAATTTTAGTCCAAGACCAATTAAATAATAACCGAAACTGTTGTTCCCCTACTTAAAATTAATAAACTGATAAAGTCCTATAATCGAAATTAACGTCTCCAAACGAAACATTAAAAAACATTTCACCACCTTTCGCACTTCATGGAATCTACGGAAATATAGCATCAATTTAGTTTCAAATCAGTTTGCAAATCACCCCGAGACACAACAATGGCGCCTAATCACGCAAAAGTCGACGCTTGCGATACTCCTGACGGTTAGCTGGTTGAGGCGATTTGAATATAACATAAGACGGGTTTCAATAGGATCAAGGTGAGTCAGGACTATTGTCAGTGTAAGTAAATTACCTACCCACTTACTTACTTAATTTACTGCAAATAAAATAATTAGCCTATTTAAAACAAAATTCGCAGGTCAAATTCTATGTTATGATAAAAAAACCACTTTCAACAGTCGATTTTGAGACAAAGTAGGTAATGTTAGCTCTTGATCAGGTAGGATGAAATGGCGCCAGTGAAACATGCCGATTTAAATAGAACTCTCATTCAGCGTAGAAAAATTATGAAACGGACAATCTAAAGTTCTCATTATACACTGCAACTACACCCCTTACGTCTTCTCGGTAATTTTATTCTGATGTCCACCTGGAGCTCTGTAAGAAGGCTGCAGATATATTTCCCCCTGTTTATTATTGGTAGTGAATAGAACAGGTATATAACTGTAGTTACCCCTATGCTTTAAGCAATACCATTATAAAGTCTTGGTTTTTACTGGGTACCAAGCTGATCAAGTGATTTCCTCAGAACTGTGGAAGATTTAGTATTTTTGGCCGTTGTGGCCAGTAGGCTTAAATTAATACCAGAACTTACTAGGTTTTAGATCACACTATTTAAAAGGATTTTGCTTTTTCCACAGGTTGAGATAATTGCACCAAAATATGGTTAAGGTATAACGTTAGCCATTCAACAACGCAGGTTGTAAATAAAATAAGTAAATTTGAAATGAGAGAAGGCAAAATTATCCTTCATCAGAATTTCCATATGTGGAGCTCTGAATAGGGGAAAAGATTAAGGAGGAGGAGGAGGAAGAGGAGGAGCAGGAGGAGGAGCAATCGCGGTCTAGTATCTGCTTAAGTGGCTGTGCCTGAGTGTGGCAGGGCACCTCTCTCGTTAATGGCGCCTATTTTTTGCGAGGAAGTGGATCGAGTTCATGTTCGTCGTCGAACCTAATTTCTCGCTGATATGATGCTTTCATCTCAACATACATATGCTCAAGTGTGTGGAGAGAAGCAAGGCAGATGCCGTACTTCGAGGGCTTAATGCAAGGCGACATTTGAACCTGCGCCGTTTGCAAAAGGCTGCTCTCTGCTTCGCCAAATCATTTATTTTCCCTAAATTACGTCAGGTTGAAGCTGCAAGATTTGAAACAGTGTAAAATAAGGCGTATGCAAGAGTTACACTTAATACCTCCACCAGACTTTTTGATTACTTAGGCAAACTTATTTTAGTATACATCCATAATTGCGGGAAAGGCTGTAAATGTGTTGACGATTATCCCTTGATTGTAGGAGAACAAATTTACTGCTACTGTTCGACTTTTACATGCTGCCCACTTAAAGAATAAGGTGTACAGCTTTATGGGTAGTGTTGGGGATAAGACAGCTTGACGATTTCTTAAAACAAAAGGATTTGGCGCAAATCGACATTTCAGACGAAAATAACAGTAATAAATGAACTTCTTGAGGCCAAGTCAGAATGTACAAATCATGCATGCATTCCATCGCCCTCTAAAACGTGAAATAATTGTGGTAGGGTTAATAGATAATGCTTGGTGATAATCAAAAACGAATCATGCAGCTGCTGTACTAAGCAATAAAATTCCGAAAACACCCAGCGAAAATTTTGCATTGCCCGACTTTTCCCTCAGTAAGGCTCTAAAGTAATGCAAAAGGTGAGCGAATTTCTGTAGTGCTGTTATATAGCTAAGATGTAAATTTGGCTGCTCATTACTCTCAATGGTGCCTATGGTCTGCAGACTACGACGGTGGAACAAAATTTGGTCGGATTGTATACGTGTCCCCAGTCATAATCTCCCAATCTTATGTTGCCTTCAATGCAAACTGAGCAGGCTAAAACACCTCCAAAGGAATGGCAACCTATTCCCATAACCAAAATGGATATAGGATGAATTTAAAGCGCTAGACAGAGTCACGTATTCAACCGAAAACCGCCTGCTTCTTTTGGGGTGGGATATCGCAAAACATTTGCCATATTTTTTTCGACCCCAGTAAAAGACCAGGGAATCGCAGGTAGACAGGACGAAAGCTGGAGATTACAGGACGCATGCTGGTTTTCGAGTGTATAAGAGGAAGCAAAAGCGAAGAGATGAACTTAGAAAGATAGCTGTTTTTGAAAATGAGTCGTTAGCAGGAAGTAAGTAGTATTTTTCGTGTGTCAAATGCATCGCTTTTAGATGACGTACTGAGCTACTTGGCGATTATTTAGTTTTACATATTCACCTTCTGATTTTTCACTATACGCACCCTATTTTTAACGCCACAAAAGCAAATTTTATTTAGTTTTTAAATAATGAAAATATTTGTTCAACTGATAACTTACAGCGGAAAATGTCTACACAAACTTAATGCAATTTTAAAGGCAAGGTATTTCCACCGTCAGCTTGCGCCAAGAATTCAATCGTGAATGTTGCGCCAAATTCAAATGGACTGGAATGGGGTTCAAAGTGGAAATCTACAAATCTTTAGACGTATATTACAAGACTGGTACATTTGCTAAAGAGATTATTGTGGGTAGCATTTTAAGTTATTGGTGTAGGCATATATCAATGCACTTCTCTTGGCGACATTGACCTACTGAATTAATCCCAAAGGATTGGGATCACCCACCTACCACTTTTATTGAAAGCAAAATAGAAATTAAAATCCTGGGACATAGCCATGTTGCAACTAGACTTACCTCATCTCGAGGCAGAATATAAATGTACAACGGTAAGGGTTGGTAGTTCAGATCCAAAAGTTGGTTGAAAAAGGCATTTTTAGATCTCTTTGATAAAGGGGGTGAAGAGGATATTGTATGGCAATGACTTAATGAGGCATTAAGAGACCAGTGATATTATAAGGCGGTAATGACAAGTTGTTATTGTAGTCCGACTTGCGACCACTCAAACCAAGCTGACAGCTTTTGTCACCTTATGCATTCAGATGAAAAAGGCAAGAAAAGATGTACCCCACAGAGCAATGGCCAATTGGATTAGCTATGCAGGCTATTCCTGTCCTAAAATTGGTGGTCTTCCAGACGGAGCCATTTATTAGGTTTTTTTGGTCCGAAACCGCATGCTTTTATATCTAGAGCACTTAACATTTATCATTCAAAAAAATTAAAGCAAGACAGCACGTGGCAAAATCGAAAAATATTTGTTTAGCCTATGAAGATGATCGATTAGTGAATGGTTGAAGCTCACCGCTCGCAGTCGCAACACTGCACCTCCCACTCTGCCTCAAATCTCGCAGGCGCCGCATCGTATCGGGTGCACGCGGCTATCGATTAATCGATGGGAAACGATTTCTTGACTAACCAGGTTGTTGACCCCTACTCGCCAGCCAGTGCAAGTGTCAGGCCAGAAAACGAGGGAGGAGTGCAGAAACGGGGAGGTCGAGTAACTCTATCACCTATGACAACTTTTGATTAGATAGGAGGGTTTCAATATAAACCACTTTTTTATTTCCTGTGCTTATTTAAACTCCAGCGAACATTCGTAATTGCTTTTATGAGCTATTTATTTTCAAAAAGGATAAAATCCGTTTCCGATCATTCTGCTGGAGCAATAAAAGTACGTGTCCATCCTGAAGGCCAAAAACTCTCACAGATGGAAACCGCAAACAAACATTTTAACAACAACGGGATATTAAACCCCGGGTTTGTTTTTAGTGAATTTAAAATGAACTGATTTTGATCACACCGCAATACCTCCAGTTTTGAATCAACAAAGCTATGTTGCTAACTGAATTATGCCATGCATTCAACACATTAAGTGCAACCCCTAAAACTTTTCTGAAGGCAAAGAAGAAACAATGTACTGGCAGAATATATATATTCGACCTACAGAAAAGATCGGGGCAAATGGCATGGCTCGGAGGCCAGCCTACCTAGCGAGGGTACATTGGCGGAGCCCCTAGGTAACCCTTTTACCAAAACCCAGAGTTGAGCAAGCAACCAACTTTTTACACAGCGTCTCCCCTCTTAAGTGCCGTCACCGGTGTCACCCATTACAACGTAATCAGTGCTGTAAGGAAACACGCACGAGTCAACCATGCCAGTCGTCGAATTTCTATGCAACTGAGTAGACAATTGAACGCAACGTCACTGACACTTCTTGGCTATTCTACTGGATCTTGAGTTTCGTCCTATATGGAAACTGGATTAGGGGCTGGGAAATGCGCCGGCCATCACGCGTTCCCAAGGCTAGTAGTAGAAACACTGACCTAAAAGCAGTCATGTAACAAAGGATGGGATATAGCGTACTTCCATGAAAGTAGGGTTTCGCTTCTATTGCTTTTGTCGCGGTGTTCTCATTTCAGAGCTGTTTAGCCATCTGTCTGGATTCTATCTAACTAGCAGCAAAGTATGGGAGTTTGGCGTTTTCACTTAGTTGACATCTACATACAGGTACTATATACAGCTCTGTATCGAACGCTTTTCAGCCTGTTCACGACTAGTGCGATTACCTTGTTAGTAGCTTTACTGCGGAACGTGGAGCTGCTGGGGTAGTTGCTGAAGGTCGACGTCACTTTTAGCCCTCCTGTTATGCGTGGTCACCGATTCTCCATTCCGCCAAGGTTTATCACCTAGCAGTAGAAATTAGGATGGACGTTTTCTAAATCGGGTTTGTGTTACGTGGCCACCAATCTAGTGCCCCTTAACTTACCTGAAGGCGGGAGAAGCCGTAATACGCGGGCTGAATATGCATATCCGGCATGCATCAGAGCAGAGGCTCGCTCACTCGGTGAAGGTACAGTAGCTTAGAACCGAAGTACCTCGACTACCAAAACTTGCATACTTGATGAAGGCCAATATTATGTCACCATCAGGGACCAATCATATAAAACCTGTACAGCTTATTTACAGAACTCCAGGTGGCAAATAAATAACAAATCTCAGAAGAGACAAAAGAAATGGTAGTAGTGCTTGAACTCCTGTTAACTATACTCATGTTCCTTGATTGCTTAGCATCGTTTTGCGTTTTACCCAAGCGAAAGAGGTTTTTAATCCGTGGGAAATGTGTCAACCTTGCACGGTTCTAAAAACAAGACCCACTTCCAGATTAGTAGGCAAAAATAGCTTTATTTTACACTTTCAAGTAAAGGACGTGTTCCGGCGTATGTAAACACCGAAGTAACAACACAAACGACAATTCTTCCTGATATTCTGCTCAACGACACAGGCAATATTTTCCATGTCCTTGTATAGAATCAAGTTATTACAAGCTTAAACAAATTGTAACATTTAGCTTTGCAAGAGTTTACTGTTAAAATGAGGTATTCAAAGTAATCTTAAATAGAAAATAGCAAATGCCATTGCTATGTAACTAAGGGCGCATACCTGACAAATGGACCAATGATGGGACAGCAGTTTGAAGCGGCTCTTTCGAAAGCTCCGAGGTTGGGCATTTGTAGATGAATACAAGTTCCTCCAAAGTACGCACAATAACTGGTACGCAGGCACGTCTGGGAAGATCTACAACTAAAAATGACAAAAAGAACAACCACTGCACATCAGTTAATGTTAATGCTGGCCATGTTTCGCAACAGAAGTTATCTACTCTCTTGGGGAGTGCCAAACAGGTAAATTGGCATCAGAATACAAAATACTAGTTCAATATTTGTGGCCAATGTTTTTATGCAAAGGCATTTCTTAATTTAGGCTGAAAATGAGCCCCTGGAATCGCGAATGTCGGGCCCATCAGGGGGATTCAGTTCATCGAAAGGCATGAAAGTCGAAGATACGTCATCATCATTAGAAGGTTCTGATGCTTTGCCTTTAAAAAGTGAGGAAACAATTGAAGAGGCAGTTCAGAGACTCATACAACTTAACAAGGATAAGCTTTCTGACTCTCAACTTTTGGATCTAATCGCTTCATTTTATCTGGTAACGAATCAATGTTTGAAAAGTGCGTTAACATGCATATATGATATTTTGCGTGTTTTGTGCACAGTAAAGGACTTTTTTCCACATGGAAGCTATTTGATTCTCGAGCTACTAGGGTGTGCTTGTATTAAGGCAAATCTTTGACATTTCCCAGTCATTCGAAAACAACCAGTTAGTTCTAATCTTAATGGTCCTGTGGTTTTAATTGAACATCTCACATATCCGATTACTAACTGTAGAATGTAAAACCGATCCATCGGCTCAGTTAAAACAGAAACCTGCGGAAGTAACTTCAAAGATGATTGAGGAGAGGAAGCAAGACAACTTTTCTGGAAATACAGACGAGAGCACTGATGAGGACGAAAAAGTGCCACCAACTGAGCGGCCTATTTCACTGCTGGAGAGGAAACGCCTCCAATGGCTACGAGAACGAGGTAACTTTAAAAAATTCGATATTTCAAGCGTTATGCTTCCCTGATGCTCTTTCTACTCAAAGTGCAGCAAAAGCATATCAGCTGTTTTTTGCTTTCAGTCTGCCATTCCACACCGGTTGTTTGGTGTTCCATTAACTGACTAAACTTCTGTTCATATTTGTGATTATCTGTTGTACTTTTAGCAATTTGCTTGCGCTGCAATCCCTAGTATCTACCGAGATTTTTTCATACTATTAGGAAATGCAACTTAACCTATTAAAGCACCCACTAGTATTAATGCGAAACTTATTTTGACAAGAATAACACTATTAGGAATCGTTACTACTTGGTTTTGCCAATGTGTTTACCTTTGTTAATATTATTTGTACAAAAAATACTGATTCTCGTTTGGTCTACTGTCATTTTCGAGAAACATTCCATATCCTGAATGGGTTTCGATGTGTGGAAGCATGAAAAAGTATTTGTCCACGTACAGCAGCACAAAAGTTTTTTTTTTGTATTCTCAGACGTGCTGCTTTTTCCTAATGTGCTGAATGTCAAAGCATAAGATAAATTTTAAATGAAATCCCAGATATTTTTCATACGATTTGTGGTAGCACTGCTTCATCAGTGGCCGTTTCATTCCACAATGGAATGAAACAGCTGGCCTATTATTTACCGGAAAAGTTTTTGCACGAAGCAGCAGCATTAAGTGGTCTAAAATGGTTTTTTTGTCTTGGTATAAAGTTACGAGCTCTAAATTAATCCAATCTTTATGTTAAGTGAGTGGTGAATGCTGCACTAAATGCATACATGACTGGTGAACTGCTTCATTATTCTTCCAATCAATCAAGGGAAACAGAGGTGAGTATATGCGTAAAATAACGTGCTGCTCATTCAATTTCACGACTAAGCGGAACTCGAGCATCTGGAAAGGGATCGTGCCAAGTCCGTGATGGATTTGACCGCAGAAGCGGATATGATTGGTGGGAAGATGCAGTCCACAGTCGCCCGAAATGTGCTCTCCGCCAAGAATCATCACCGCTTTCAACGCTGTCACTATCTCGCCGGATTGCCCGTGGGCGAGGATCCTCACGCTGAGGCGGAGTTGAAGGTAGTTTTGAGGGTTTTGTGGCTGTTTTGAGGAAAGTGTGGTCATAAAAATTTGCAAGATCTAAGAGATGATTTAGAAAGCTTCATCAATCGATTAGGCGCGGATAAAGAACCGATTTTGCAACCAACATGAGGTGAAGATCTTGCACTTTCTCGCTAGCTAATTTGCACAGCAAAAAATTTTTCAGGTTACCTGAAGTTTCAGCTTCAAGATCGTAGCTTTATACATCCGCAAGTTTATTTCAGTGTTTTTCTTACAGAGCAAGATTGTGTAGTTTAGGGCAAAGGCATTTACTATGGCCATGACGCTTTGTTAAAGTCGCAATCCAACCTTACTATTTGCTTTGAGTAACGGGAAACCTGGCTTTGGACAATTTTCATCACAAAACTTTTCACTGGATATGATGGACTATAGTGTTAATGCTACCGAACCTTAAAACTGGTTCCCTTCACTAATGCTCTGAAAATATTGCTAATACTCGCAAGATTTTGGATTTGGACGTCTGCAAAACGTGAGAGACTACTTTTTCTTAATTTCATTTTGGTTCTCATGTTAATCCTGGGTCCAACCGAGCACGTTTTCACCAATGTTTGTGCTAATGAATTGACGTAGTGCAGTACTGCATGATTTTCCTCTCATCGCACGTATTGTTTTAGCGAAAATTTCATCTAAACCTTTGATATCTTCGTTGCGTGCTTGAAGAATGAGGTAAATTAAGTCAATCGAATTATCCACTGGTCAACTAAACATCGGCTGCAATCGTATTGTCTTGCCTCTAGTCTTTTTTGAATCTGGCATCAGCCATGTCAATACAGCAGCTTTATTATTTACATCAAGAAGGGCTGAGAAGCTATAGGCGCACTCGGAATGTTGCATTGTATGCTTGAGTGTTTTAAGAAACAATTCAAATCACTACAGTATAGCTACTCAATACTAATCGAGCAGTGCATCTATTGACAGATAAATACGAAACTTTCAAGCAAATTCTTCCTGTTTTTGTATGACATCATATTTGTTAAACTCGATGGAGCGCACTTTGCATCACGCTCTAAAAGCATATTTTTGGCTATGATAAATCTCACGAAACCTCAACCTACTGAAATGCCTTGTCGACTCATTTGAACCATTTATACCCTCCTAAAGCCCAATTATGATAAAGAGAAGTCAAAGCTGCTAACAAAAAAAGCGTCCTGTGTTGTCTGGGAAGCGGAGCTCACATACTGAATCCATGGTCAGCCAGTGACCTGGGCCCACTAAGATTGCTTTCCACGGGGGCAACGTCCCCAAATCTATCGACCACATCTGGTCGGTTGACTGACTTGAGCGTTGTTCACGGCCAACTCACATGTATCCGTGCTGCCGCTGCTCAGTCCACGGGCGTACATTCCAACAAAAGGGGTTACGTGGGACAATGTCAGCTCTCATTGGCAAAAATCGTTCCCTTCTCATTGGCAGGAGCAGCAGCGGCGCCAGTGGCTGGCCGAGTTGGACCGTCAAGTAGAGGAGCGGCGGGTGGCGCGAGAGCGTGAACGCCTTCGACGCCTCTCCGTTGAAACTGCCAATCACATTAAGGAAGCAACTTGTGCAACGGGAACGGACAGAGAATGTAGTGCAGCCCAATGTGACGTCAAGTCCGCCAGCTTTGGTAGGGGTCGCGGATTGGCAGACCTCCTTGGCAAGCAGGACATTGACTCCGCTGCGAAGCGTCAGCAGCAACTGGAGTTGCAGGTAGGGCAGAAATCCCGAAATGTATTTTTTTTACCAAGAACGACTATTGCGAATAATGTTATTGCTTGCCATCATTTTTGAATAAGTATCGATGACCAAAGCAAATTTAGCTGACTCGTTGGGATCCTATATTTAAGCTTTCTCCTACGAAGGACATAATGTTCCACCCATAAGTAAAAAATTCCGTTTTAACATGCATTTTAATTTGCTGACATCGTAGTGTGCTGCATAATGACAACTGCATAGATGCGAAAGACGTCTTTAGTTAATGCTGGAAGCCAACATTCTAAAGGATGTAAAGATTAATCAACTGGGCTTTTGCTCAAGCTTGGAATAGTGATACGTTGCCTGAATTAACGTTTTTTAGAAAATCGGGGTTTTGTCACATTTAATTGCATTATTAATACCTGGAGTCTTCGATACGGATTTAATAAACCACATTTATTGCGAAGGAAACAGCTTAAACACTGAGAGATTGGCAACGAAGGCAATCATTTTTGAAGAGTGAAAGCTCGATTGCACAAAAAAGACTGTCATTTGATCATTGTTGATCTACCTGTTTATGTTCATAACCTTATTCCCTATATAAATCAAACTCTGCTAGCCATGTATTAATTGTACTTAATCGGTGGTCCCTTTTGGGTGCTTCGCTCCTCTCTGTGACAAGGAGGCGTACGCAGAGCAGATACGCGAGCGTGCGGAGCGCCGGCGCCAGGAGCGTGAGGTGGAGGCTCGGACGGAGGCGGAGGAAGCTGCGCGCCTCGAGGAGGAGCGCGCTCGTCTTCGCAAAGAGCAGGAGGCTGAGCTTGCGCACCGACGTGAGGCTGAGGTGAGAGCCTCCTTTCCTACTGCTAAGGTAGGCAATGTCACCATACGTATGGGAATTTCGATTTTTAATCCAAACCGAATGAATGAAAGGCGTGGATGTGCACTTGCTTCTTTTCCTACTGTAGAAGTGTCCTCAAATTTGATCATTCTCTTCTGCACAGTATATTCTTTTAAGTAATCACTAGTTATTCTTCGGAATTCCATGTTTGAGTATGAAATAATGACATTTTAGACCACTTCTCATTGTGCTAGGCACATGCGGTTCTTTAGGAGTAGTTTCCACTTTTTGTTTTGCCGAAAAATCCAAACGCATTTTTGGCTTTGTTGACTGAAATCGAGATTAACAGCTTTTAGCTAAGTTGATTGAGAAATATTTTCGTTAACCATCTTATTTTAAATAAACTTATATTAATTTAATTTTAGAAGAGAGACGAAAGTTTTCCTTTTTACACAATTGTTGTTGGTGGATCATTGCCTTTTGTCGTCATCTTTTACAATTTCACAGCAGACCCAAAAGGTAATAAAGTTAACCATGAGGTTTTTAGTTAACTTGTTGAAGAATAGTACTTTAAAACGAACGTGTCAAGGTATTGTTTAATTTTGGTAGGAGAAATATGGTTGATAGTATTGGCATGCTCGTGTTCCTTAGGCGAATTGAGGTATTTTGTTAGGAGCTCCTTCCTGATCCATTATTACATGAGGTGCAAGATGAACCTCGAAGGCATAAGGAGTCGAAGTTGATGTATCCTTCCTCTTTAGTTAATTATTTTATGTAATCGCGTAAAAACTCATGCAAGTAGTAAAAGGAGAAAGTATGTTTGAATTATTAACTCTAAATTTAGCTAGAGGTCAACTGCATCAAAAGTAACCCGTCCAATAAAGCGTCCAGCATCCCTTTCCCATTGATAAAAAAATCTAGGTTAGTTTGCAAAACGTGTAAGCGCACACGAGGCGAGGCAACATGGGGACTATTTTTTTGTCATATCGTTTTAGGAGAAGCCAAAATTCATATTTTTATGGGCAGTTTCTTTATTGAGTCCACTTTTACTTAAAATTTGCAATTTGGAGCTCAAATTCTGTAGGCGGCAGAGCATGCAGCAGTGATGCAAGTGCGGGAGGAGGCTATCAGGGAGACGAGGGGAGCACAAGGCGGGATGGCATGCAAAAAACGCACCCAAGGTGTTCAACGCCCCTCGCGTAACACCAGTCTTATCCCTCGACCCTCGAATCGGGTGATTGGGAAGAAATATATGCTTTACTTGTTTTAATTTTCGCATCCACAAGTTTTTATGGATATCATTTTCCTTACAGACTTCGTCCCAACAGCGAAGTACAGATGACGTTGGTGAAAAGATGACGAAACCGAAATTTGGAAGTGCCCTTACGATTTCAAATCGAGGTAAGTGCAATTATTACCATGGTCGAGCATCTGGAAGTTCTCTCAATTAGGTGATTCTGCTCTCGAATGTTTGGTTACCTCAGATCGCGCCAAAGATGGGGACTTGCCGGTTAAACAGTGCCCCCCAAGAGGTCTGCCGGTGGTGCGCACCGAGTCAACCCTCCCTCCTGTTCCGCTCCCAACCAGTACTGCCACCGCGGTCGCTTGCCCCACCTCCGACTTCCTCTCCGCCATTGCGGACCCCGACTTTGCCTATCCCCAGGTGCTTCATCCTAAGCCAATGTCATTATTAAACATGTAATTTACGTCGTATGAGACAACTTGCTGGTTAGCATAGGGAGAACTGAACTAGCTGTTGTAATTGGTAGTTGCTGCGTTGCTTCGGTTTCGATTCAGAAGCCTGCTTTTGAATTTCCGCACATGAAAAGAGACTGCCTCACCTATTTACAGATCAACGAATAACACTGATTTTTTGGAAAAAAAGTCATTTAGCAGTCAGGACCCTCCTTTTACGTTCTCTACACTAGTTTCGTATCTTGTCCCCACTTCGTTGATTTACATTTACTTAAATGTCAATTTGCCATGTGAAATGTGCCATTATGCGGTTCGAAATTTACACGGTACTTCACACGTTCTTGGGTAAGTAATAGAAATGCGCTTGAAGGAATAAGGCTTGGAAATCACAATAGAAGAGTTTTCATTAAAAATCGCCAGCAATTCGTCGGTTTACTCATCAGAGAGCGGCGCATTTTAACTGAGGGGACGAGTCAGGGACATTTTGATGGGACGCGAATTCCCGTCTTTAAAGCCTTCTATTTCTCATAGACGACTGGATTCTGCATGGCAAACTCCATGGGAATGTTTCTCGACCTACCGTATTTGATGAGATTTCGCACAAATGAAAGTCCTGTCACAAACCGCCTTTATCGTTTTGCATTGCACACGCTCCGAAAATGACTGATGTTGAGGTTTTAGAGGAAATTATGCATAATAATAGACACATTGCATCACAAATTTACAAATATTCTAAAAACTCTTCCGACCTTTTTTCACTTGAAGAATTTGGCACTGCTTACCCCAATTTACTATCGGGTAGGACTCCGTAATCATTTCCTCTCAACAGAATTTTTTGTAAGTCTTAAAATCTTTATTTAATGGCATATTCACCTGGCACTTCTTTTTTGTTTTAGACCTCACGTGATTCCGCACTTCGACAGGTTTCTCGGATCAAGGAGGTTCGTTCTGTGCCCACCATCAACTAAAAAGAGTGAAATTGGGTATTAATGGGCCTGATTTTCTTTGCAGAATCTCGCGCAGCGCCAACATGAGTTGCGCTCGATGCAGAATATCTAAAGGTGGGGATCGACATTTTGACAATTATCATGTATACATTAATTGATAAAATGCGCTTCGAAATCACACCATGCTTGTGTCGCTTCCTCTTCAGCTATGATTCCTTTCATGGTTCAGTTTACTCCATGTCTTTGAGGGGCAATTTGCAAAGTACACAAAGGAAGCTTGGTATTCTCGACAGAAGCCCTAGTTGTCTGTCAGTTTTATTTTTCATCAACTTGGTGGTGCATTGTAGGTCCTACCACCAGTGAGGACAAACTAGTGAACCGCCACTATCCAGTTCTTTTCAACTACTTTTCTGCTTATTAAGTCCAGTCCCACCCATCACTAATAATAATAGCTTGATAATAGAGCTATGAAGCTTGGGACTTTACAACTGAAATTTTTCTAGTCGTATCCAATCACCATTGCTCGACTTGTGTTATGAACTGCATAGTGCAAGTGCTCCACATAGCAATCAACTCCCTCTGCGGCAATGATATTCAAACATTAAAATCTAGTTGCGGAGAGGATCTTGCAGCGACAAATACCACTTTCTAATGGTTTTGATACGGATCGCTGCTCGCCGGAAAAAACGGGTTTTTTCCCGTTAAGTCACCAACACCTGGTAATTGGTCGTGGGTATCAATACTTCGACAATCGGCCGATGACGCAGGAAAGCCCCATCAGCAGTAAACCTTGCTACTTCGAATTAGGATGTGGAATGCTTTATCGCTATTTTCAAACACTAACACCCACCACCTTCTTGTCGTTAAACATAGGCTATCCAAGCGGGTCGGGAGGCCCCGCGTCCGATTAATTCAAAGCTGATGTTTACGTAAGACAAGATACAACATTAGACCACCTGATAGGGAGACCTCATGTCCTCCGAGCACATGCTAGCTTCTTCTGCCGTCTTATGACAAGGACTGTGTTCCTTGCCAACGAATTTCGACAGGAAATTCCAAATTACCAGGCATTTTGACCCGCATACCATCTTGGTGAAGCTAATCAAAAGAAATACAGATTTTCAAGAGGCACGGTGTCAAGCAAATTTGCATTTTGTTATACAAAAAAGGGCAAAGACAGTCGACTTTCACTTCAAGAAACCGAAGTGGGAATACAGGAAATGCACAAGTTGTCGTTACTCAAATACCTTCCGATATATCCATTAAAACTATGATGTGTTCCACAGGGTTAGACCCTATTCTTCATCGTTAGAGAAAGAAGCGAGTCGGAAAAGAGAGAAACAGAAAAATAAGCACTTTATTAACACAGAGAGGAGGCGGTTTAGGCGAGAACGTCGCAAAAGTCAGGTCGGGGCTCCAAATCGAGAGCCTGGAGTTCACGTAGGCCCTGCAGACATACCTTGATGCGCGCACGGATTTCAAGGGCCTTCTGGCGAAAGAGCTCCGCTCTCGCAGTGAGCAGTTCCACGCGCTGACGCACAAAGTCTAAGGCCTCGACGCGCGTCATCTCCACGTGGAAACCCAAACCCACGTCCACGTAGAGGCGCTCCAGCGAGGGACTTCAACACCAACCAACAATCAACAGTGCTTCAAGTGAAGATCTAGGCGCATGCTCACACAGCAGAAGATTAATCCACACACAGCTGTTAGGGCATTTAAACGAAGCGTCTGATTCCCACGATCCTAATGCTTAGGTTCCAAATCGAGCCATGTAGACCTAATTACCCTCGGTTTATGTTGATACTATTTTGCAATTAACCACCCTTTGGTTTATTTTTGCGGAGGAATGAACGTGTGATAAAACCCGTGCAGCTTTCCAATGCGGGTTGAGTCAATAGCACGTCAGGCTGAATAAGGTTCGACAGACAACTTTGCTATTCAAGGCAAACCAGGCGGGAAACCTGAGTTGAGATCGCGATCGCTTAGAATTTGTTGTAGAAAAAATGAAGGGGACACGCAAACTCGCATGGACAGGGTTTAGCATTAACGCCAACGGAGGCCAAAACAACCGATCAAGAACGCAGAACCTAGCATACGAATCCACGATTTCAGGCAAGCGTAAATGAGTGAGTAATGGATTTCACTCAATATCTATTAGACGAAAAACTTTTCAAAATTGAAATGCTTCACCGATAAGTTCTGTTTTGTTAGACAACACAAATACGAGAGATGAATCCCACGAAATAGAAACAGAAATAGCAAAAAACCATGAGATGTTTGGGAAACAAGAGCAAGAATTCGAGAGCTAGCGTGCACACCTATAAAAAAAAGAACGACTGACTAGTGACTTCTGGTCACACCATCTGATCAGAGGTGGAACCTATTCCCAATTTAAAAACAGTAATAACAAGCAAATAATTCCTTTGAGGAGCACTACGTGACTGTCTCCTAGTCTCCAGTAACATAATTCAGGCAATTTACTCGGTCTCTATTATCCAGCGTGCCGAACCGCATTGAATGGAATGGGAAATGACTTACATGTGGGCCTTAAGGTAGAAGTTACAGCCCATGTCGACCATAGTTTCGGTTGCACCACTGTTGTCGCCGTCTTTAAAGCCCACTTCGGAGAATTTCTCCAGAAGGTTCTGCAGCTCAAGATACTCAGAAATCTCTGCATAAACCGTATCACCAGCATCAAGAGTGAACCTAGAAAAGGCGAATAAAAAGTTAAAAGACTAAGCAACGCTCGCCTGAGGTCCTTGCGGAGTTTCTCATTAATGAAGGCCTCAATCTTGAGTATCTTCTCTTTTACCGCACTTTGCAGGACTTCAGTCATTTTCGAAGTAATGAAGAACGAAACCCAGCGTAATTTTCAAAATTTAGTATCGGAGGGTAACAATGAAGACTAAAAATAGACAAACCCCGAAGGAAAAGGAGCCGGTAAAAGGTCAACAAGGTTGTCACCACTTCAAATGCAGAGGACCAAAAATAAATTACAAACAGTTACGACGTTACTATAAATCTACGCGGAAGTACACCTCGAAACTAGAATAAAGAATAGCGGGATTGGGCCTGTAGCGCAAGACCACATTAATTATTAAAGAGCGGTCAAAATCCTCCCAGGAGATATTTGTTTACTTCAAAGACACGTAAGCTAAACTCAACAATTCGGCAGAAAAGCCACAACGCTCCGATGGTCGACCTGAAAACCGCAGAGATGTATGGCCAGCAGCCCGTTTGAAGAGCGCGGCTATGCTCAAGCCAATCAAAACATCTATCTTGCTAATTGTCTTTGTAGAAAACGCTAGCCCTTAGTTTTAAAATAATTTGTTGCGATTACATTGGCTTTCAAAATAGCTCCTAAATTTCAACCACCTTGTTTGGTTGGATGTAACCAGGGTAAACAGACCAACCAATTTGACTGTACGGAGTTGAGTTCGTTTGTTTAGTTCTGCTTACCTGGTATTTATCCCATTTATTCAGTGGAATCCCGTATTTGTTTTAAATTGGTTAATGTGATTGTTGGGAGAAAACTGGATGTCCGAACTCATGGCAAACTGTAGTGGAAGACTTTCCATTATGTCCTACTTCATTGTCACGCCATTTTACACTAGGGATCACAGAACCTTTAGTGCAAACGTGAGGTCCAAACATTTTCAGTCGGATTTGGCGGTTTTAATAATATAAGTAGAAACCCTTGCCAAGATAATTATACTTGGAAAACCCCTTTTACCTATAAAAAGCTCGAAAAGCTGAGGATTATCATTGTTCTTTTAGCTTATTTCACAAAATATGAGTCAGCAGGCCCCGACAAACCTGGATCTTATTTCGGACGCCTCGTTTGTGTCCGATGAAGGTAAGTTATCTTTTTCCATACACAGCGCTATTTACTTCTATTTCGAATGATGCAGTAATCCGCTACTTTACATTAGGGAAAGGTGGCTGTAGCACCAAAACCAAACAAGTTCGATTCGATGCGCTCTTTTCTCCTTTGGAGACGGAAGCGGTAAATACACCTTCGTTTGTTGATGGACTCCCAAAAGAAGCTCTGACAAAATGCGGCAAAAACAGCGTAGGGGAGGAGGCGCTGACCCATACATCACTGCCTCTTCCAGCTACCCCCTCGGAGTCTCTTGACCTTTCAGTCCTTGATGAGCCTCACCTACAGCAGACTCTGGAGGCGCTCTCTCTCGATGCGCCCAAGATCAATTCCGTCAGGGCCCTGCAGGAAGAGATTATTCAAATCGCCAGTCGCATTAATAAGGCCTCCCAGTCGGTGAGAATTGAACCCTCTTTATAATCCAAAATCAACAACGAAGCATGAATATAACTACTCTATAAACTCTGACTTTAGCTACCTTGAAAATCTAGTTTTTCGTTGAAATGGTTCCATTGTGGAAATATGTCATAGCTTTCCTTGTATATTCCAAGTTGCTATTGCCAATGTGTTCAATATGACTGCGTTAATCACCAATTATTTGCTAAAATTTTTCAGTAGAAATGTCACTACATTGATTTTGCATAACATGTTTTAATACTCGATTCTTGCAGAACTGCAATGCTAGTAGGCAGCTTTTCATTGATATTAATGATACCCAATGGTCTTTATTTTGAGTTGATAGCGTCAGAAAAAAGTATTGTGTCCTGTATGTATGCGGTTTTATTACATTGATCCCAAGCCTCTCTTATTTGAGCAAATATTATGTGGTTCCTGACTATTTCAAAGCCATTGATTAGCAGCATATGCAGCAAAAAACCAGTAAAATTTTTGAACGTAAACAACACTGTATGGTATAGAAAGGTAACTTTCTCCTTTTCTGTAAAAGGAATTATGGAAACCGGGTGGAATGGGAGGATGTTAACGCTATTTATTGGTTGTAGTGAATAGTTTATAGCATTCCTGTAAAGTGAGAAAGTGGAATTGTATTCCATTATTCGTCAACAGCCATCATATTCATCCTAAGAAAATGCTTTTGAAATTAGTCGAGATGACTTGGCCCACATGACCAATTCTCACTGCATTATTGGTACTTACAACTGTGAAATAGTTGAATCGTTGGGGTTATACATATTACCGGGAAGTTTCAAATATGTTTTGGTCATGATAAACCGGAACAGAGTACCATCTCAGATGAATGCAGCCCTTATTTCCATAAATGGGTAGAAGTCATTCCTTATAACTTTCTCACCGGAAGAAAATACATTCAATGGAAAATAATTTCGGTGGTCAGCACATTCTACTAACAAAGGTAAGAGACTTTTTGACCTAACTTATTGATTTATTTTTCAAGTCCACACCGTGTGTAATGAGGAGCTTCTTACTAAAAATTGTTCATGGATATTGGCTGATAACCTTTTGCAGGGTGCATGAACGCCATTATTTTATTTTTTCTTACCCTTAGGCAGCATCCACTGCGGAAAAGTTGGCGACGGGAACCTGTGGCTACAGGGGTGGTGGCACGTGTCTGAACTTTGCGCGAGAGGAGCGGCTCTACAAGGACCTTTTGGCAGTTTCCCTTGACGACGCTGAAGTGGTGAAAGCCGAGCGGGATAAAGCGGCGCGTCGGCGACGCCGTCTCCTCGCTGAGGCCGCACGACTTCACCCGCCCAAGGCAGTGAGTCACTACACCTTCGTTTCTCTCCCAGAAATTCTTGAATTCGGTGGTTTCGTATTGACATGTCTACTTTCATGCAATCCCACTGTTGGTGACACAATTGTGTTGATCTCTTGTCTTGTGGTTGTCAAGGCTCCTTCGTACTCGTTGGGATTTGTGTATTCCTCGATTGTATTTAATTGGGCCGTTTAGTAGAAAGAATTGACTTTATCAGCTGAAAATGGTGCTTTATTTCTAAAAGATTTTTTTCGGGATAATCTAGTAAAACGGTCTTTAAAATATCTCAAGTACTTGACATCTTCCATAAATTTACAGTTTAAGCGAAATAAGCGAAATCACATTGGCGTGAGGTATTTGGCTAGTGTTTTGGAAGTTTCTTTTACAAGTGTTGCTGTAAACTGCTTGGCAAAAGTATACACAAGTATTCTTGAAATCCCCTGTTTTTATCAACACGGTACGCATATAATTTTTTTTGCAACTTTTGACGGTTTTATGTAATAATAAGTAATCCCCTTTAGTACTTGCCAAAAATTTACAAAGTTGTCGCCATTTCAGAAAGTGGGTTGAGAATAACGGGTCTTAATCGTATTGAAACATCGTATAATTCTGTCTTGTACCTTTGCTTTTTATACTGCTATGTATATCGTCTGTTTGTTGTAAAATTTTTCCACTGTGAATATATTAACATAAGACTGTTTTTAGAACTAAGTTAATTCAACATTTCTATAATTATAATATGCATCTAAACACTTTCTGACAAATGAGGGAACTTGATCAATAAATATCATTGTTTTATTTCGATAAGTCCTTTTTTTTACACCTCAATGCCCTGATTCTTTTTGGTTTCTATAACAGCTCCATGGCGACGACCTACTTTGAAAGGTTTTGAGTTATTTGGATTTTTTGAAAAATTTGCTTTGAAACACCCCATTTGGCTGCTCGAACATCCAATTTCAGATCGAAATTTGTGCGAAATTGAAATGCACTTTTCTAATGTTCAATGCAAGTTCTTTACTCGCGAACTTTTAACATTGCAACCACTTCGGCGATGAGCCGCACTTCACCAAATCTGGTAACTATTTGGATAGCTGCTAAACCAATTCCAATCGATTGGAAGCCATTCCAAGTGAAATTGCGTATTTTAGGAAATTTTGCCAGAACCCTGCCCAATGAAATTCTTCAATCCTCAACTACACATCTTTCAATCAGCGCGACTAGACATCACCGGAATGACCGATTACCGGCCGCTTCCAGAGAGTCTCTCAACAGCTCACCAATTGGACGCCATTAGGCTGGACTACCGTCTTTGCACCGAACCTGGCTATTTCGTTTGAGCTACACGACTTGTTTTTACCTTGGGGTTTCCAGCTAATATAGACGTTTGCATAAATGATGCCAACAGATTAATGCCCTCCATTAGTCTCCTTAGCCGGCTCTCCTATCTAAAGTGGGAATCACGTCCACCGCTGAAACGAACTAACAGGGAATTTATCAACATAGAAACATTGATAACCACGGTGACTGTAAGCGAGAACACCAATACCAGGGGTAATAATGTTCCATTGACTCAAAAACTAAATCCCAAGGATTAAACTGGTCTGTCGACGTCTCACATTCGTCCATCCTCTCAGTGATTTAGCCCTCAATCGATAAACTTGTATTCAAGCATGATACTTGAGTATTTAATCTTAATGACATGTATTAAAATTAACCGAGATGTAGTTATTTATAAGGATAAGTCTGACTATCTGTTAGTGATGGGTAATTCCGACATTTGGCACAGCCGCAGTGAATTCCGCCAAAAAATCATCGAACTCGCGTAGCTTCTGCTCGTGCCGCGCTAGCTCGTCGCCCAGAGCGTTCGCATCAAATACGGAGGCGGTGGCTGAAGAGGGCGCAGGGTTGACGGAGGCGCCGGGCACGCGGAATAAGTCGAGATCGGTCTTGGTGCGCAACTCCGTTACCAGATGGGCCATGCGCGCGCAACCACCACCTGCACCACTGTCCAGGTCCACCGTGCTGAACGGTAGGTGGAGGGGCATCCGACCAGGTGCGCATTCGCTGCCATCGCCGGCAGCACCAGTTTCACGATCGACGTTCTCTGAGACAAAAGTGCGCGACATCGATCCCCCCTCATCTTCTTCACAGCCTGCTGCACCTTCAACTGCCGCCTCCGCCTCACTGTTCTCGGGATCGTCATGATAATAGTAGTAGCAGCAACCTGTGGTCTCATCATAGATGGCTTCCCCTTCACCCTGCTGAAAATGGAATTGATGGGATTCATATAACCACATTCATATGCAATTTCAGCTAAGGTGGATTTTGACATTTTCAACGCCCCCCGGTTTCTTCGGTCATCGGATTCTCAGGAGTTGGAACATTCTACTTTGCAACCGTGTGTACTGTAGAATTAAATTATTCTACTATGCATTTAAATATGACGAACTTTTCATCTCCCAAGATTCAGCCTTCGTCTTTGTGAATGACGCCTTGCTCACGCCGTTTGCACGACTGATCTAACGATTGCAGTGAAATTATGAGGAAGGTACCTCCGAAATCACACGCATTTCAACTTCTTCAAAGATGACTTCGATACCATTGGGCGTTTCATGCTAAACACCATCATTGAAATGATTAGTAACAAATAGCAATGTTGGTAGGTACAGTTTTTAGTTGGGAAAGTCTCAGCTGAAGATTAATCGCACCATATATTTAGCGATGGTAAATAAATAAAAGAGCACCGGTATACATTGATATAATATAAATGAATTAGGAAAAACTAGAAATATGAACGTTTATTTCTATGGTTATAAGTAATCGATTAGAGGAAAACCAACAATTGAACCACATTCTAAGTTCAATTTTCTAAAGCTGTTTTGGTTGAAAAAAGTATGCGCCAAAGAAAGTGTGCAACAAAATTTACAATGGATCAGAGAAAGAACTATTTCGCACTTATTCCAAGGTACGTTAATGAAAGAACCACACTGAAACAAGGGAAGGGACTCACTGGCAGACCTTCCTTGTCGATCCGATAGGTAAATTGACCTTCCTTCTCTTCATCTTCGTCTTCTTCTTCCTCATCTTCCTCTTCCAAATAATCATCATCATCTTCAAGTGTAGCAGCAAATGCGGGCCTGATGCAACTGCAAGAGAAAGTGCAACTCAAATGTTTACTAACAGTTGCTAAGTAAAAAGGTTTCTAACAAGTAACCCACAGCCTTCGGGATCGGGGTCGATGCGGCTGAGGCTGCAGCAGAGGTTGAGGCGCTGCCTCTGATTCAATGTCATTCAGGTTTCCTCGATAGCGAACTGACACGTTGAGAAAGAGGTGTGTGGAGTTGGGGCCGACCGCAAGCCCGGGAAAGAGATGCCCTACCTGACGGCAGACAACACTCTCGTGACCCAATCGGTCGAGGGACACTTCGCCCCTACGCAGTGCGTAGCACATCTCATGCTGCGGCTTACGCGAGTAAGTGTAAGCTGAAATATTAAGAATAATTACAACATATGTCAAATAGAAAGGATGGACCAATAAAAATATTCACCCAACAGATTCCACTTTGCAGGTATTATGCACCGACTTAAAACTGATGCATTTCTTCACAGTGCAAAGGAGGCGTTTAGCGTATCCTTTCACATGTATCACCAGGATTGCCGAAATGATTCCGCAAATTGCAAATTCCTGAATTTAAATAACTATTTACCCATCCAGAAACTCCATAGTTGCTTTGCCTTACAAATAAAATACCTGGACAAAATACCTTACTAATGTCAATATGATTCATTTACAGGCGAATGACCAATATACTTAAACACCGTCAAAATTCAGTTTTAATTTAAAAAAGATAAATATGATATTCAACTATGAACAACAAAAAAATAATGGATCTCGGGTACCAAATTGTTTTAAAAGCGGTTTTTGCAAAAATATGCGCACATTTATTTGACTGTGGAGAAATATGTAAAACGCACACATAAGGATGGAAAAATGTCGCAAAATCAAAATCAATAGCAGAATTCTCAACTGAGAGAAATGGTTTAACTATGTGCAACAGCAACATTAATGGTATCCTCAGGTTTGCCAACGTATGAAAAAAGCAAAGTATTTTTAAAATAACATGAATTCACAAGTTCCCCAAGGGAAACCTGACATTCTGCACGGGTCAAGGAAGGTTACAAGTAGCATTTCAAAGCACAATCATGTGCATGAAATTTTTATGTCAAGAGCTCCACTTCACATGTTATAAACCGTTTTTGCTCAGGCAAAGAAAAGCACACTGCCCACTCAAATAGTCTGTTTTCATTTCCTAACACTCAAAATGTCTAGTACAATTGCGGTGATTCCCAGACGACGTAGGCAGAGTTATTCTTACAAGAACATAGACTGAGATACAAACCTGGGAGCATCCGAGTCGTGACAAGAAGGCTTTTCAGCAGGCTGGCGAGGCGTTCGAAGAGGCGTGAACGACGGAAATCTTCCACCGCAAAGCAATGAGGTGCTGCGATGGTGGCGTCGGAAACGGCGGTGGCAGCACTGGAAGCGGTGGGAATATTGACGGTAGGGAAGTAGATGGGAGGTTGGAGGCCAGAGTGGTTGGCTATAACTTTGGAGCAGGGCAGATGTCCACGTCGAAGAAGGTTATCCTCGGTGTCCAGACGGAACTGCCACACCTCCAACACTACCAATCCACCCGCGCCGTTACTCATGAGAATCTCCAAACTAAAGGTGTCGCCTAGATTGCCGTAGTTACAAAAAGATTATAAAATATGCAAACGTATAAACTGGTTGCAATAATCACAAACTCTGACTTATTCAGTTGTTCATAGCAAAAATAAAATCTTTACTCGAGTTGATAAATCAATTATGAAATTTCATACGAAGGCCAGTTTGGTGTTAACTTGTAAATCGTTTATTACTACTTTTATTAAGTAAAATTTCAATAAAAGAAATTGAAGGTTTGTCTTGTTCTACCCGCTGACTCGTACTCTTACGAAGTTACCGTTAGATGAGTTTACCCTAAAGTTCATTTAGTAAGGCTGAAGTTGATAATAATATCCGGAATAATTTATTCTCTCAAATACCTCTGAATTTCTAATAAAAAGATATTCCACCCCTTTTGCATTTCTTTAACCTTAAAATAGCTCGATAAAGCTTAGCAACATATCTGAAAAATGAATTTTTTAAAACGTAAATCATACAAACGAATTTAAAAAGGCGAGGTTACTGAGACAAAAGTTGGGGTTGATTTAACATTGCAGGGAAAGCTTATTTCCTGCATTCGAACTAAGAGCCTCTTGTGGAAAAAATCCACTTCATCACAGGTGGACTGTCCACTCGTTTTACCTCGCACCTTTGTGCGAGGTGGCACTGGCTCCACTGTTAAAAGACATAGTGAGGTGAAAAATAAGTGCGCGGTAGAAGCACGGAAAAGATAAAGAGCTGCGCAAAAGAAAAAAAAGCCACCACTGACCCATTTTGATGGGGAACCCGGAGTCAAGATTCTGCTTTATGGTGGCGCCAATCTCCGGATCCTCCTCGAGGTATACCATCTGAAAGGTAAGATCGATTCTCCACTTTCACAAATTCGAGATAGCGAAAGTGCTTGCACTTTATGCAGTCGTTCCACTTCAAGGCCAATGGCAGAGGTAGCGAAACAATAAAAATATATGTTTTTGGGGGTGAAATTTTGGAATATGGCATAGTAAAAAATAGATAAATAATGGTACTTGAAAATATCTAAAACCGACGCCGATTTCGGTGGCGGCGGCTGTAATCTTGTTTCAGATACTGTCGTCCACGAAAGGACTAATCTTCAAGCACCTTATGCTTTTTTAAAACACAAGACAACAAGCTGATGTGCATAATTTTATTTTGTTGATATGCTGCACGGCAAGAAGTGAGAAGACACGTTTTTTTTTTACCAGGCAAGTGGTGTTGTATTAGGGGGTTGCTTACATCATAAATGCTTTTTTAAGAAAAGCTGCTATTACTAATATTGTGGCAGGTTTTCTACAACTAAGGTAGATACTTCATCGAAAGACACAACCAAGGCAACGGTTAAGCTAGAATTGTCAAGAAATCCTAGTGGTTGAATTTTCATCCTGTTGTGAAAAAGTTGGCGCCTCTGAAATGTAGCATAATGCAAGAAACAAAGTTAATGACTGATTTTAGACTTCCCAGCCCAAGTAACGTGGAATAGCATGATCACGTAACTAAAGCCAGTAGAAAAATCAATCAACACCCCCATATCTTAAAAAACGCCTTCAACCATGACAACCGAATCAGAAATCAAATAGTCAATACAAGTCTTTGTGATAGTGTTTTACCAATAAAAATTATTGGCATTAAGAGAGAATGAATAAAGAGACACTTACGAGGTTATTGCGAGCTCCCACGTCGGAGATACAAGTTGTGGCGTAGGCAGCTCCACTACGAGCCTGCACGATGGCCTGGATCGACTTGATTATGAAGGAGCGGATACAGCTGTAACCTCAGGGAGAAAATTCATTAGCGTAGCCTTAAAACACGGCTTGGATTACGTAAATCAGAAGTCTGGCTTTTGGACTAGAACGCTGGTAATGACTAGGGCTTCTAGGTACTCGAAAGATGCATTTCATTTGAAAGAAAAAGTATGCAACAGTCATTCACTGTACATCCGATCCAAAGGACCCCGTGGAATCGAGACAACTCAGTCACATGCTAATAACAATTATTTTACGTAAGTCTAAAAAAGAATTCCACTCTACATTGTTCCCCTTCTCAACACTTTGTACAACATTAGAAATAAGTATTTAAGTTTTGATAAGACAGTAGAACAAAAGTACTTCACGTAATTCCCCACGAATCCGGCTACCTCAACTTGGACAATAAAACCTCATCAACGTAAAGATAGAATTATAGCTCTCAAGCTGAAAAGAGCGAGGCACAGTTCCACAATTTGCCTACGGCAAAACATAAAAATGGTCCCATGGGGTGATGGGATCAAAGTTCGGCCAGTTCAAATTGATTGTTGAACCTCCGAGAGAATTTTTAACACCATTTGCATCCCTCATCGGATATTTCAAGCAAAAGCTACCATACAAATTAGTCGATTATGAGTACTTTAACCCTTTCTTTCTCCATTTCTAGACGTTCGTCGTTTGTATTGGTAGAATGATAAATATCATCAACCAAATTCTAAAAAACGGACAAACAAGTCAAAAAGGAAACAACCTACCGCTCTATAGCTGCTGTCTCCTCTGGACGGGATGAAGACATGCCTTGGCAGTGAATCGATGAAGGGAGAAAAAATTGATTAAAACATCTAAAAACACTCATCTGCACATAGGAAGGCACACGAAAGGACACGCGGAAGGAAGAGCAAAATGAGATAGCTTTATTAAGCCATTGATGACTGCAGTAAGCAAGTAGGAGTGTAGTTGTTCGTGACAATCTTCAGGTGAGAGAAGCAACAATCTTGAGGTTGTAGAAGTCCTTAGCTGCGGTCCCGTGAAAGCCCATATTCGCGAAGGCGATGCCGAACTCAGCTATGGAGAACCAACTAAAGGCTTCAAAAAGAAAAAGACGAATAGATTTGATTGGCTCCTTAGGATCTCCAGGAGCCCATCTGACCTGATTTCGTGCCTATTAAGAGCTGATTCTTCATGAATGTTTTCTTGGTCGTGTCAGCTGGATTTGTAGCAGTCATTAGATGCTTCCACTCCAAAAGAAAGGAGTAATAATGGTATTAGAAACCTTAAAATGGCACCAAAAAGTCAAATCCAGCGACCAATCTCGGTCAATGCATCAAATATACGCAAAACATAAGAGAGGTTGAGGGGTACTTCATTCTACTAAATTACTCAGTCAATGAAATGTCTTCTAAAATCGGCATAATGATCCCGATTTATTTTATCAGTGACGGTTAAATAAAAAAAATCACGAAGAATTCTCTACATCCTGAAAATTCGCGACTTTGTCAATTTATGAAAGCAAATAGACTTTATTGCCATTGGATGTAAAATACCTAAAGTACACCCATTACGTTCGCAAACAGCTTATATGAGTGTAGCGAAAAATTAAAGCAATTTCTACCAAATTTTTGTTTGAAATCGGCAAAGCAAGTAAAAGCAATCTGGGAATAGTTTCAATTAGCGAAAACAGCAACACGTGCAAATAACGTAGAGCACAAAATATGTCAAGGTACAAAAAAGAACTCTAGCACCAACCTAAAAAGCACCAGAAATGAATTGCTTGATGCTAATTTAGAAACGTTTCTACTTACCATTTGGTCTGCAAAGAATATGGTGTTCGTAGTAATATTTTGCGGCAAACACTCCACAAAAAAGCATAAGCGTAAGAAAAATTGCCTTGTCTTCCAGAGACTTTTTAAACTATTTGGATGTTTAAGCTTTGTAAAAGGATTTAGGCTTACTGTCCGAGGTAGAATCCTTTGGCAATTTAGGCAAAAATGCAAGTAAAATTTTAGTGTCATATACAATAGGCTTGACAGCCCAAATATAATGAAGAAAAATTCGTGAACATCTGAAGAGACTTATGCAAATATAGTCTTACTAAAATTGTCCACGGTAGAGACGATTGTTAAGCCACAGAGAGAAAGAATATCAGTGAGATCGAATAAGTATACCAAAGAGACAAGAGAAGTGTATGACTTCCATAAAGTGACTTTGTCTGCCAGTGCCATATGCGCACGGTAATAAAGGTGGGTAACAAAAACACGGGGAACGGCGTGTGCAACAATGCAAAACCGCCATAAATGTAACAGCGGACGCATGCAAACCGCTCCACTGATTGAAGGCACAAAGTTATGGACTCCACACTTTGATTCCGTAACCTCATCAAAATAGAAGAACATGGCATATGAAAGACAGCCGATCATGCAACAAAAGGGTAGATAAAGAGTCGTGACCGCAATATCGCGAAAATTTAGGCTGCCCAATCGACCCTCCATCCTATTGGCCGAATCCAAATGGCCTGAGGCGTGACGAATAGACTTAAATAAGTAGAAGACCGCTAACTTTAAGAAATGCCTCAAAACCCCAAAAACCAAAAGCTACAACCTTAAAAAATTCTCTTTACCTCACACAGTGTTTTAGAATTAAAAGCAGTTAAAGATGAGGATTTTGGAGGTGTCCGCTCTTAAAATATCTAAAACAAATTCACTTCATAAGTACAGTACTTAGGCTATTGCAGCCCAGTTTGCCTTCATATTAGGCCTGAAATTTTTGCAAGGTATTATTCAACATTTCACTGCATTCCTTATCATAAACTATCACTCATGGGTTTCAAGCAATTTTCAAATTTGGGAATGCTAACCTGAGTTAAACCTCTTGCTCACGGAGCTTTTATGTTTATAGTAAATGACAAGCCTGTAAAAGTGCATTCTGCTACAGTTTAGTAACTGATGTATCTGTAGTGACCCAAATGTTGCATGAAATCTTAAATGGCATATTCTAAAGTAGAAGATTAATCACTCTTAACGCGCAGAAAGCCCAAAGGCTGTGAAAACGACTAAAAACAACTTTTTACATATGCTAAGTCCTGTAGGTGCAGTCAATGCTCTAAAAATCACCCACAAGCCAAAAATGTACTTCATGATGCCGTCATGGGATTGAAGAGTGAACTGATCTCGTCAGCTCCGATACACTTACAGTTTTGCCTTATTTGTAAACAGCAAGATAGTTTGCTGATATTTTGCTGCCTTAATCTAGGCAGTTTTCTGAAACGACAGCATATTTTTCCAGCCAATATTTGTTGGAATGCATGCCTGCGAGAAGGCCAATTTAATAATGCAGTCAAACGAATAAAATATTCTGCTTCCATAGATTGGTAGCATTTATTTTTCTTTTACTGTCCTCATCTAACTATACCTTAATCGACTACTATAGGTACGGAAGCAGCATTATTTTTTCACCTACTTCACAGACATTTTTATCAGCATTATTACAATACGATAGTGGTTTATCCCTCGGTTCTGGTGAGGTGCCACTTTTGTACTTTGAAGCAGCCCCCTTGTACCTCACTGGGTGAGCTGGCCTTTTGGGCCATGCCAATAGCCCAGACACCTTCCCCGTGCTGAATATATGTAATCTGCCCGAGTATTGTGTCTTCTTTCGTCTTCAGGGAGTCTCGGGACGCTACGTTATAGTTAGAATGGGAGTGTGTAATTTTACTTAAGACTGATCTTACCCTAAAATACTAATTAGTTTCCTACAAAATATGAGACTGGGATGATTACCGAATTGCATTTAAACCCAGAAATCCCCTATTATAAGTCTCAGGACAGAATTTCTTTTAGATCGGGGTCGCTCAAAGCTTCCATCAGCATACCACATCGATTCTCCTCCAGAGTTATAAAGAGTCATTCCCTTATGGAAGATCCTTTATA